AGTGTTGGCACTGTTGTTGTTGTTATTGGCACTGTTGTTGTTGTTATTGTCAACAACAGTGCCAACACTGTAGATACCAACGCCACAACTCACAGCGCAAATATCACTTGCAAATGGAACATCATCACAAGAAGCAAGGAGAACCACAGCGATGATAATAATAATAATAACGTTAACAATAATAATAATAATAATAATAACGTTTTTAAATATTGTCATAATAATATTAATAATGTGTAGTTAATTAAATAAATTAATTCGCGTTTCTCGGCTGAGCGTTGATATTTACCTTAACAAATATAATATAAACAATCTTGCCGTTAAAATTTTTAAAAATCGCGTTTTATATTGTTTATAGTTATTAAATTTATTTTATTGGTTTTCTGTTTTAATTAAATAATTTATGTAAATTAATAATTACTTGTTCCTTTATATCAAATATCTTACATACCTTATATATAATGCACTGAAGATGAGTTATTTATAACTCGAAATAGCTATTTGCAAATTTATTTAATAAAAATTTTTTAAAAAACAATAAAATGTCTAATTTCTCATCAATAAATTAAAAAGAAATATAAAAAAGTTGAACAATGTTGAAAGTAGTGTTGAATTTTTGAAATATATATATATATATATATATATATATATATATATATATATATATATATTAGGAGAAAACTTAATATAGCGTTCGTTATAGCAGTTTTCACAAACGCTATCAACTTATAACTAAAATTAATAACAAAATAGCAAGAATGAAAAGAAATAAACTATAATAAAAAAAAAGGTATGTCTTTAATTGTCTTTTAAATTCAGCAATATTCATTCCAGGCATTCTAAGGGCCGACGGCAAGCCGTTCCATACGACAGGGCCTGACACAGCAAAATCACGCGATCCAATCTTTAGCTGTCTATGAGGAACCACAAGAATGTTCGAATCGTCAGACCTTAGACGCACATTAAATGCGATCGACGTTTTTAATTTCAGTTTATCTGATAAATATTTTTGAGCCAAACCATTTAGTGATTTAAAAACTGCGACAGAGATTTTAAAAACAATTCTTTTATTTATGGGCAACCAATGCAAATCACTCAGGATCGGGGTGGCATGATCATACAATCGACATCCAGCCACAATCCTGGCAGTACGGTTTTGTACCGATTGCAGAATTTTGATGGATCTAGCCGGGAGTCCATAAAATAAACTATTGCAATAATCGACACGTGAGTGCACCAACGCATGCGCCAGAGTCTGCATTGCGACTTTATCAAGTGATTCTCGAATTTGGTTCATTCTTCTAATCCGTGCCAAGCATGATATAGAGATCATTTTAAAATGAGATTTCATTGTTAGGTTTGAATCAATTATAAAACCTAGTTTCGACGCTGCTTTACAAAAAGCTATTTTTTTATCATTCATAACAACTGAATTTATATCCAAGTCTGCCAACTGCTGCCAGCTACCAATAGGAAAAAATTTTGTTTTACCCTGGTTAAGCTTCAATTCATTTTTCGACATCCACAGATTAACCTCCGACATACATTTAATGAATCTCGTAATCTCGTCTTGAAATAACTTACTTGATAACATAATTTGAATGTCGTCTGCAAATGCATGGCTTTTAAAATCATAGGAATCAATTATCTTCAGCACATCAGATGTATAAAGCAGAAACAATAAAGGACCCAAAACAGATCCCTGCGGCACACCCGAGTCAAACCACATTGACGTAGGACAAACTCCCGTTGAACGAAACCTGTTGTGTTCGGCCAATCAGGTAGCTTCTGAGCCAATTTATTATCTCCCCAGATATTCCAAAATTTTGATGCAGTCTGAGCATTAACATTTCATGATTGACACAGTCGAAAGCCGAGCTCATGTCCAAGAATGCCGACAAGGAAATGTTTTGAGCATCAATCTCAGCATAAACCCCTGAGAGAACATGTTGCAGGGCAGTTTCAGTGGAGTGAAATATATATATAAAAATATTTTCAAACAATAAAGTACTGTCAGCCAAGCTCAATAATAATTTTTCTCTCAATAAATATGAATTCAACAAACTCAATAATAAAAAATAAGTGTTGAGGTTTTAATAAAAAAGATTTATATATATATATATATATATATATATATATAAATATATATATATATATATTGGATTATGACTGTCAGAAATGCAATTACTATTTTTTTGCGCCATTTTGTCGTTCGCTATTTTGTCGGCGCCATTTTGTCGGCGCCATTTTGTTTGGAAATTTGCGCTTTTTTTGTTGTTCGCTATTTTGTCGGGAAGTTTCTGCGCTGTTTTATGCCATTTTGTTGGCACTATTTTGACGGGTCACCGTAGTATGGATATATGAGAGTATTGTAGATATTATTATTATTATGTAGCGTGAAAATTTGTGAAAGTTTCAATAATTTCATTTTTTAAACTTTTTTTCTTTAAAAATAAATTTGGTATCAATAACGTTTACAATAATATTCAGATGTTATTCTCGAGGATCTAACAGTGAACATTGTGGATCAATCATGCTACGAAGTTTCAGAAGAAGGATTGAGATTGATGAAGTTAACCGATCTCGATGAATTGTGGACACATATTTTTTACAAAAAGGCTGGCGTTGATAAGTTGAACTACATGAAAGAAACTGCTCGTTTTGAAGGTTAATGTTCATGTGGAGGTGTGGTGATGTGCTTATATTCTCTCTCCCTCTTCTCTATCTCTCTCTATCTCTTCTCTGAAGTAATGAAGGGATGTTTATTAGTTTGAAAATGAATTTTGTGATGCTATAAAAATGTTCTTATTGAAGATTGGGACACAAGTGACGAAAGCTTGACCACAAACGAAATGAGGCAAATTTTTGAGATAACGACACGCCTGCTGCTGATGGTCCTCATTAAACACTGTGGACTCACCAAATCATTCATCAAATGGAATGCTGATAGGTTGGTTTGCTATTTACTGTTGTAGTAGGTTAATACTAAGAATATTTATCCTAGTTCATGGTTTTTGATACATATGTACTAAATTTTTAATTAGAAAGATCTCTTAAGCGTTTCATAAAAATAAAATGACAAGGTAGTGACAGTGACGACAAAGACTTGTGTTACTTTGTTATTACAATTTACTTTCAATGAATCACACTGATATCGTCAACTTGTTTATTGTAATAAATGCTGTTGTTATTTTATAATGGCTTGATGAAAATTATGGCGGACGATTTGTTAACGAATGTGAGGACATTCATATACATTTGCTTCCAGTCACGTATTGCCCGATGCACTAAAGAACGTATTCAGACAGGTGTACAAACTGAGATCTGTGCTTTGGGTGCATTACAAATTCATTGAAGACGAACCAGGTTGTCAAATTTTCGTGTTGTGTCATTATTGTAAAGTTAAAAATTAAATCATTAAAAATGTCAACATAGTAATTGTTGACGTTTGTTATTTATTTGTAATCTCATTACTAATGCCCATGTAATCACACAATGATCGTTGTTACAAGTGTCATCATCATCAGCATCATCACCATTATCATCTTCATCACCACCAGAATTATCATTATCATCATCATAAGCAACAACAACATCATTATCAACAACATCATCACCATCATCATCCACATACAAATCATCAAACATTTCCTCATTTCTCCAGCTACCGCCAATGCCCAATCGTTCAGGAAGCAGCGCCACGTCATCAAATCCCTACTCTTCCTGCTCATCATTGTTAATCCAACTGTCGTCGGTTAGCTCCTCTAACATGACGTTGATCGTATTCATGATGATGACGAGGAGGATAACGATGATTATGATGACGAAGATGAAGATGGTGACGACGATGATGATGATGATGACGACGACGATGATGATGATGACGACGATGAAGATGATGACGACAATAATAATAATGACGTGATGCTTATGATGAGGATAAGTATTAAATGTAAAGTTTGATTTGATTTGATTTGACTGAACTAAATAATGTTACACTGTTTAACAGTTTCATCAGAATTGATTGAACGAATATTTGTGTTTGAATTAATATTTGGGATTGAATGAATATTTGTGATTGAATGTTCATTTTTGATAGAGTGACTATTTTTGGCTGAATGAATAATTTTGTCTGAAAGAAAAAATTTTCTGTTCTACATAGATGAAAGCTCGCTATTCATCCACTCCCAAAACAAAATTGAAAAAGAAAAGTCTGAGCACAGTATGGTTTTTTTTAACTTTTATTTATTGTTCAATTAGTTGCATCATTTTTCAAAAAAAGTTTTATTTTTCAAAGAACAGCACCTATAACGTATCCAATAAAAAATTAAACCAGGCAGAACACGAACTTCGATAATAAAATACAAACTAGTATTTTATTATCGAACTAACTATAAAAACCAGCTAAGAACTCAAGAACTTTATTTCATTCTCAAACACACTTATATATAAAAACCGTGTTCATACGCTAAACCATACAAGACTAATTAAGAACAATTCAGTCTCAAACATACTGACCATACTCTCATATACTCACAACCAATTCACTTGCATTTGTACAATATCATGCCAACGTGCACGTATGACCAAACCATACAACATTCTACCAACATGTGTGCCAAGAATACATCACAACACCCCCTTCTCCATCGAAGGTCGTATCTACGTTTACTTTTATAAATCATCAATGCAGTCAGGGATGTTGATCGTCCATTTTCCGAGCTCAGGGATTTCTTTTTCCTTTCTTTTACGGTGCTGCAATACCAACCGTCTTGATTTGGCAACCCACCATTTTCTATTGCCCGTTCCGGGGTACTGATAGTTGAATATGGTTGATCAATCGGAATGAAAGCCTGACCTAATTCGAGCTGGTCAACTATTATTCAGTCTAACAGGGATGGTTGGAAAACGGCTGTGTTTTACGCTGCCTGGGCCCCTTCGTTTTCAGATTGGCCAGTTATTTCTGTCGACAACCTCTTTGTTTGACAGAAGCAACAACATTGGTTTTTTTTGCTGTTGGACTCCGCAGTCGCTTGGGTTTGTAGACTCCCGCTTCTGCTGGCGTGGCTTCAACTCCCGTTCTTGCTCCTATTGATTTTTTTTATCAAGGAGTTCGAAATCCACAAATTGGTTTGCCTACTGCTTGGCCTTTCTAGACTAATTTGTGTTCAATGCTATTAGCAATACGCTCATTGCAGCCCTTGCGATAATGCATGCTTTCCACAACTCCTCTGAAGAGACATCGGTAAAAGACGACTTGAGAACGTTGACAGCTTTCTCTGGTCTATTGCCTCCGCAGTACGGGACAGCTCTTCCCAGCGATACCAGCTGGCTGTCCGACGGACTACTATTCGCTTTCGTAATTGCGTGTGAGTATTCTTTTTCCGCATTTAGAACACTGTTTCATGTTTACCTAAAAAATACAAAATAAATTAATTAACATAGTAATTTAAATTTATTGAGGTGGACGACAAATGGTCTATATGATAAATTATTACAAGAAAAGGAAAATGAACGAACGACAATCTAGAAGTCAGCCAAAATATTCATTCATTCATTCAATGATCCTCTGTAGTCCCTTAAGGGACCGTTGAGGCCGATGGTATTCTTCTATCTTTCCAAAATCCTTTTCTTTCCCTCGCCATCTTCATTGAGCCCAATGTTCCAACCCCCGTCCATTCCGTGATATCATCCATCCACTTCCTCACAGGTCTTCCAACTTTTTTCTTCCAGTCCCTCTTTCTCATCAGTACTTTTTTTGATCAGTCTGTCGTCTGTCATTCTGCAGATGTGCCCAAAGATACCCAGCTTTCTTTCCTTGACCCTTTCATACACAGTTTTTTGTCTTCCAAGTTGTTTTCTTATGGCATCGTTTCTTATCTTTTGTCTCCAACTGATTCTCAGCAACTTTCTATAACATTGCATCTCGAATGCTTCCAGTTTGTCTTTGTCTCTTTTCTTCAACGTCCAAGCGTCACATGCATACATCAATGTAGAAAACACACACGCTTCTACGATCTTTAACTTTGTTTTTGTAGATACATTACCGTTTTTCAATATTACTTTCAAAGATGCAAACATTCCTCTCGCGATTGCTATTCTTCTATCAATTTCTTTCGAACAATTATTGTCATCAGTTATGAGGCTGCCCAGATATATAAATTGGTTCACTTGTTCGAGCTTTTCTGCTCCTATCTGGAATTCATCATTGTTTCCACCTGCTTCCGAAATCATTATCTTTGTCTTACTGCTGTTGATGTGTAGTCCATGGTTTCTTCCACCATCGTACGTCAACTCGATCAGTTTCTGTAGACCCTCTGCACTAGGTGCTAGCAGATCTATATCATCTGCAAACCTGAGGTCCCTTATCACTCTGCCTCCAATGTCGATTCCCTCAATATCTGCATTCTCCATTTTTTCCAAGGCTCTTTCCAACAGTGCTAAGAACAATAAAGGTGATATTGGATCTCCTTGTCTACTTCCTATGTTCGCTTTGATCCAGTCTCCCAGCTCTGTACCTATCTTTACCGCCATTGTTGACTCCTCATAAAGCCCTTTCAGCACCCTTACCATTTTTATTGACAATCTCATACCTTCCAAAGTTGCCCACAAACCTTCGTGCCAGACTGAATCAAACGCCTTCTTAAAATCCACAAAACAATGAAAAGTTGTTTGACCTCTGCTTCCTGCATCTTCCAACAATAGTCTCAACATCAGGATTTGCTGGACTGTACTTCTGTCCTTTTTGAAACCTGCCTGCTCCTCTCCTAAATGCTGTCTTTCTCCAATCGTTCTTTCAAGATCGTCAGCATGATCTTGCACATATGAGGGATCAGTGCTATTGATCTGTAGTTGTTGCAGTCTTTCAGGTCTCCTTTTTTTTGGCAACATGATCAAGATTGATTTACACCAATCTTCTGGCCATTTTCCACTGTCCCAGATTTCTTGGCAGATTTTGTGAATCTCATTACATACAATTGGTCCTCCCGCTTTGATCAGCTCTATGGGAATTCCGTCTCTCCCTGTGCTCTTGTTGTTCCTCATTTTCTTCATTGCTTTCATTACTTCCTCCAATGTTATTTCCGTTTCTTCCTCATTGACTACTTTTCTTTCTTTTAAAGCCTGTAACACCTCCTTTGTATACGTGTTTTTATCTGTGAACAGGTCTTTGATATATTCCGACCATCTATCTTTGATTTGTTGGCCTTCAGTTAGAACATTTCCATCCTTGTCTTTAATAATCTTTGACGTATTCTTCAGTTTTCCTTTTAACTGTCTGACTAGCTGATAAGCCTCTTTTGTTTTGTTTTGTCCAACTAGTGCTTCTACCTTCGCATCTATCGTTTATCCATCTTCTTTTATCTGCTCTGGCACTTTTCTTTATTTTGCAACAAAGTTGTTTATATTTCATCTCATTTTCGTTGTTTTGTCTTTTCGTTGCTTTCAACTGTCTTCTTTCCTCTACGAGTTTCCAAGTTTCATCACTTATCCAGGGTTTTATTATGTTTTTCCCTACTTCGAATTTTTCGACTGCAGTCTTCTATTACATTTCTGATGTCTTTCAACTTCTCTTTTATCATTTCTGTGCTATATTTCACTCTTTTGATATTTTCGCCTGACTTTGGTCTTTTCGTTATTTTCATCTTGACGTTGCATAACACTAGAAGATGATCTGATCCAATCTCTGCACTTGGAAAAGCACGGCACTGAGTAACAAATTTTATCCATTTCTGTTCTATCAAAATCAAATCTATCATGTTCGTTGTTTTTCCATCTGGTGATTCCCATGTCCATTTTTTTCTATTTTGTGTTTTTGTATTTGTTATATACATTTTTTGGTCCTTTGCAAATTCCAGCAGTCTTTCTCCTCTATTATTTCTGTTTCCTATACCGTATTTTCCCATGACTTCTTCAAAACCAATATTGTTTCTTCCGATCTTTGCGTTCCAATCTCCGGTGATTATCTTAACATCTTTCTTTGGCAGTACATTCAATGTTTGCTCCAGTTGATCGTAGAATGCCTCGATTTCTGCATCCGAGTGATCCATTGTTGGAGCATATGCCACTACCACATCAATGTCTCTCGGGTATCCCTTAAACCTCGCATACATCATTCTTTCATTCACTGGATTGTACTCCAACAGTGCTTTTCTTGCTTTTTCGCCAATAACCATTCCAACTCCATAGACGTGCTCCCTCTCTGTTCCAGACCATAATATCTTCCCACCTTCCATTTCTCCACCTCCTGTCCATCGGCCCTCGCACAGACCAACCACATCATATCTGAGGTTTGAAGTCAGAGTTTTCCTTCTCCTAGGTAATAGCCGACCAAGGCTAACGAGCTTCACCTGCCCGAAAGCCAAAATATTATCTGTGATAATTTATAATAGTATATGGTTTTTTCTATAAATTGTATTTGCATCTATTGAGAAATTATAGTGAGTTATAAGTTAGAATTAATTTGGAAACAAAATGAGTGGTTGATGAACTTGTAAGATTTTAGTTTTGATTGCGGTAGATATTTATTGGTTAGATAATCTCTCCTAGGTAATGTTTAAGACTTAAATTTTGAATGAAGATTTTAGTCATTAATTAATTAATTGATTAGTTTGTTTATTTTTTTATTTGTTGCGTGTCATACTAAAGTTATTATTTACAACGTTGCAGACATTTCTGACCACAAGTCAGCTGAGAATGCAATTTTTTGCAGAAGAAGATCAGCTGTTGTTTTATCAACCAGACAGATGAACCAACTGGACAATAGCGATGATCAATTATTCCAACAGCGGGAGCGAAATGAATGCGGTCAACATGTTAATGGCCAGAGTAACTTATTTTTATTGTTCTATCAAATATCTAATCAACCAAATGATCAACAAACCACTTCACCTTCAGAGCAGAATAACTTTCAGTTGGTGAAGGAAGGATTAAGAAAGAGCAAGTGGCATCATGAAAGAATGAAAAAAATCGTATCTTCGGATTTCCATAATGAGCATTACAACTCTACTGCTGGTTTTGATCGCAATTCGAGTGTTGGCGATAATGTGTGCGAGTACATACACGTTGAAATCAATCACTTCCTCTCTGGTTGTTTAAATCATTTCGACGGCAAGAACCAGGCAGCAACTTTGCCCACCATTAAAGATAATGACGACACCGTAGATTATGAAATGATTTTTGAAGCTATGAAGTCTCAACAAGAAAGAGCCGAGGTTTTTTGATTTTCATTACACCCTAGAATCTCCATTATAGTTTTATTCTTTTTTCAGAGAATTATCTCTACTCATTATTTTCTGCATGCATTAATTAACAAACCAAACTTTTAAAGACAATAATAAATCAGTGTATACAAATTTTCACGATCTTATTTTTTAAAGTTGTTCATCTGATTATGGTTTAAAAGACTTGTGCCACATTATTTTGATGAACGTTGTAGGTGAGACTGTTTGCCCTGCAACAAATACTGAATGTTCTTGCTAGGCGAGAGGCAACGTCATCAGTGATCAGTAAAAACTGGGAGGATGATGACGATGATGCAGCTGATATTGTTGGTGCTGCGGCTGATGATATTTGGGACAAAGTAAGCAAAAATAGATTGAAGTCGTCGTGGAAAGATTTTGAATACTCCATTGATGAACGTTTTTTTGCTGGATTCTGTGGGCCAATTGGAACGTTTGCCGATTATCAATTTAGTGAAAGCAGCAAGTTCGCTTTCCATTACCAGGCATGTTTGGCATTTTTATTGATAATAAATTAATAGTTGTTTTATTATTATTAATATTATTATTATTAAAGATCGTTTATTTTTTTATCATTGATTTATTTGCTAAAAATTGTATTTGCAACATAAATAACGACAAAAGTAAAACCACTAAGAATACATTGCACTGCATTAACGAAATCTCTGGATATTATGAAAAACAAAAACATCAATAACAATAACAACAAAAAACATAACTACAAGTACAAGGTAACAAAAAACGATAACCATTACATGCTACAGGACAACATTGAGACATCCTGTGGTGGCATGCAGCAGTCCATTCAGCTTGTCGCCCATCAAATATTCAATCGTTTTATACAGTGCATAATGGACGCTTCTCTGGGTTGGCACATTTCAAGTTTCTATGTTTTTGTTTATTCAACAATTCAAGTGGAGTTAGATTGTTTAAACTTATTGCAACTTCATAATTATATTTTTTTCTTTTTTCATATGTCGTTACAGAAGCACAATTATTGTCGTTAATAATACTTTGAATTGTTAATAATTAAACAACTTTTTGATAATTAAATAACATTCCCAAAATTTATTGTAACTTTTGGTAACTTATAAATATTTTCATAGCTAACGGTAGCAAGATAACTATGTAACTACATTTTCATTGTCAGATAATATGCAAGTGATTTTAAGAATATTTTGGATGAGTATGAGGTACGAAGCAAGTGATGTCTCGCTCATCGTCTCGTCAGGACTTCTTCGCAAACTATTTCTTCTATCTGGGACCAACATGTGCATGAGATCCATCTTGTTTAAACTCATGAAGAATCATTTGATTAGTATTAGTGGTGATGGCGATGATGATAGTGATGCTGTTGATGATGATGAAAATGCAAGCTACGAAGGTGATTTTGATGATGGAAAGCTTAATGAGGGCTCTACCTATCACAAAATGGATAAAAATAAAAGTTGCAGTAAGGAGGATGAAGATGATAATTGCTCGGATAAGAAGCTATCTTCAATTGATGAACTGTTAGAGTGTACAAGTATGAACGCTTTGCAACTTATTGTCCTCTCTGTATGGTCAGTAAGAATTTTTGCTGTTATATTAAACATGAATCAGTTAAAGATGAATCAGTTGATAATTAAATTTATTGAATCACACTTCATATTGAAGATAAGTACTACCTAATGTTAACGTTAAATAGCCTTAAATGTGCAAATTATGTGTTAAAAAACATTTGCGTGGAAAACTTTAATGCAGACAACAACAAATGCCTAGATAGTAATCTGTAGGGTTTAAGACCACGTTCTGAGGTGATTCAAAAATTTAAAAAACAGTTTTGATTTTTTAAAAAAGGGCAATAAGTTAAATTAAAACCATCAGAATGTTGAACGTTTTTCAATTAAGGCATTTCCATTTATTTGATTTGAATTAAATTTTTCGCACTCAACAACACAGCGAGCAGGCTCACTTGCTGCCGACCTCAATCATACAGTCAACATGTGATACGCTCTTCTTGCAACTCTGCAAACTGCTCTTTCACCTTTATGGCAAAGATTTTTTTTCGCATCTTCCTTCCTGGTTGGATGGATTACTGGAGGAGATTAGCGCATTTAAAACTCAATCCTCAATGGGTTTGTTTATTTTTCTGGATGGCTTTTTTTTTTACTTACGTCCAAGAAAGACGGAACGAAGTAGGCCAGCGTTGCCGAGCCGACGCATTTCATAAAACAGTGTTACGCTGCAATCTCAAGTAAAACGCTGAAGGTCTATTACACTCTTCTATAACTTAAAGGAATCAACAAAACACACAAGCAATTTAAAGATAGGTTAAAAGAATTTATTATAAACATATTTACAGATGGATAGTATTTGATGAAAGAAATTTGTCTCATTTTGAATAGAGGAAACCTCAACAACCTTACTAACATTTTAAAAATTGACTATTTAATAGCGAAGAATGGAAATCTTTGATAATATTCTAGGAACATCATTTTTTTTAAAGTTTATAACTGGATATTATGAGCTATTAACATTGTTTATGTGATATCCTTTAACTTTTAGAAAACTGTGTTGGTTTCTTTTTAGGTTTTACTCAAAAATGTCGACAAAAATTAATTTCATTATTTTAACATTTTCAAATGATAATTTTCATACAGTTTCAAAAGAATTGGTGTTGTCACTGCATGATTATCTTTCATTTTTGTTGCATGTTGCATCTTGTGAGCACGTCAAAAACAACATGGCTACTCATAAATGGATCGACGTTTTGATTGCAATGATTGGATTCATCAGAGACAGTGGTTTGTCGTTTGTAATATTGCTAACGTAATTTAACAGTGCATTGTAATAACAGGACACAAAGGCGCAATAATGTAACACTAAACATTTATTTTTGAATGGTTTATTATTATTATTAGTTTATTATTATTATTTATTTAAAGCTTAGATGTTCCGCTAATAGTAAACGTCACTAAAAGTCTGTTCAAATAAAAAATGTTTGAGTGGCTACTTGAAGAGTATGATGGATGATGGATGTTTGCTGACAAATGTAGGCTGGTAGGACATCCATATGTAGGGAAAAGTGGAAGTGAAGCTTCTGTTGACTATTGATGATTTGTTGACAGGTTCAGGTTGGTGCAGCTGAACAAATAGCGACGAACGAAGATGACGATTGGATGAACGAGGATGTATGAGTTGATGAGGATAAGAAGGTTGAGTTGTATGTGCTATGTTTAAAAGAGAATTACATTTTTTAAAACAAGTGGTACGGCGTTCAATTATTTGAAGAAAGAAATAAAACAAAGGAGTTAAACCGTTCATGTATTAATACGTGTACGGTGCATGTATATATATATATATATATATATATATATATATATATATATAAATATATATATATATATATATCAATCATCGTTTAGCGTCTAGAGACCCAGTTCTCCCGGGGTAGGACGTGAGATTAGAGTATAAATTTCTGGGTGTCCGAAGAATAAAATAAGATGTTGGTATAAAACAGGATCTTTCTGCAATTCGCTCCATTTGGTTATCCGCATTTACATTCACTTCACCTCAACAGTCCCTTCACTCTTTAAAAATTGTTCATGTTCATGTTCCAGCTCTTGATTTTTCTAAGGCCTTTGACACTCAATAATTCTACTCTTGCTTTAAATCTTGGCTTTGTCTGGTAACACTTGCAATTTCATTGTTTCTTTTTTCTACTAGAACTCACTCTCTTTACTTTCTCAACTTTCAGTCTCACCGTCTCTCTCAATTAGTTCCAATGAGGTCTAAAGGTTTATCACTCCCAGAACACCTATCAACCACTCGCACAAATCAGCTCAAAGTTATAGGCGTTTAGGACTTGCCACGAAACAAAATCTAAACCGACTATAAACCTCATTGACAAACTTATCGGACTACATTTTTTATCATTTTCCTAGCCGTCAATCATCCAAATTCTCAACGCATTAGACATTTGCTTGTTTAGGAAAATAGAATCGCGTCATAATCATGTCATTTGCTCATTGCTACCACAAATCAAAACCACATCACACAACTCATAAGGCAAGCTCGACCATGCAATCTCCACGTATTCAGCATATCAAGAAAAAACATTCATTCCCAGAAAACTTGAGTGAAACTGTACTCATACATGACCGGTTAATTTATTTATAACTAGTCCTTACTTCCACCATGTCCTTACAGCCATCAAGTTGCTTAGTCGTTATTCATTTTCAATTTATTTTTTGCTTGTGTTTATTTTAGCCAACAATGTGCAACTCCAATTTCATTTTATTTTACATTTTTTATGTATTTTACATATTTTTCTATTTGCATTTTCGCGATTCTAATTTTGTTTATTGCTTGCATGTTGTAGGAGAAGTAATGTTGAAAGCAATGACCATGAGATTGCAAGTCATATCCCTGCTTACTCAGCTTCTCAGATCTTCGAAATCAGCATTGTTTCAGTCGTCCCCCTCATCACCCTTGCCACCACATCTTTGCCATCGCTATCTTCACCGTGTTAGTATTTTAATTTATTTTATTTTATTTCACCGACCATTTTTTCTTTGTTAGCAGGCGCCTTAATATTTTAAATTATTTTGTAATGTTAATATAAAGGTGGTTGAAAGGTTGTTGTCATTGGTTAGTTATTATGGATGGCTGCATCCTCTGAATGAGATGCATGAAGAGGCCAGGAACGTTGTGGCGGAACTTATCTCTCGAATCAAATTTTTGCTGAAATCAAACGGCCATGTCGTGGAGGATGATGACTACCGTGCCAGGGAGAGGGCAGACCTAGAAACTGGACTTGATGATGAAAATTTTGCCGATACATTTCTCACTGGTGTTAAGATGTTGAAGATGTGCAAAGAATTTAATTTACAAACATTAGCTCTCCCATGTGAACATCGCATGAAAAAGCAGGTAATTTATTGAACATTCTCCTACGTTATTTTGACGTTCACTTTATTAAGATCCACTGTTTATCACAGCTATTAACAAGTTCGATTTAAATACGTCTCATTTCAGTGCCATTGTTAATATTTTGTGCAGATTATTAAACTGATGAAAGACGTAGTAAGTGATACGCAATTTAACTCGGCATGCAAAGCAAAACCTAAGCCTTCATCTGCCATGACATGTGCAACTTTTACGGAACAGTCGACTGCTAAGTCGCCATCAGAATTCACAACAACGACATCCATCATGACCACATCCTACAAACCAGCATCAGCATCTCTTGGACCGACATCAACAGCCACCGCAAAAAAGTCGATGTCAACAGCGCCAACTAGGCGAGAATGTGGATATCGTAGAACACACGATCTAATTAAGAAGTTGGACGTCTCATTTGATTTTGAGTTATCCTCGAACTGTTCGCTGAAGAATGATGGATTGGTGGCTGTACATCAGAGTTCTTGTGCAGGGTATGCTTTGGTTAATCTTCCTATGAAGGTCGGCACTTTCAAGTGGAAGGTAGTTTCCCACTTTACTTGCTTATTAATAAGGCTTAGTTTTATAGCTTAGTTTGATTGCAAACACAATTTGTATAAGATATTAACAATTTTTCAAATGTAAGTTATTCTTTGTCGAAGGAAAAGTCTTAAAGTTTTTTTCTTCAGTTAACTTAACATAAGAAATAGAAATAGTAATTTGAACGTTTTGTGTTCTCGTTGCACTGCTCCGTTTCAGATTCAGTTGGTGCGTGAGAACGTCAACAACGAAGGGACGTGCATCGGAGTGTGCCGGCTGCCCATTGCGGATTGCAACTACAGTTCGACCAGTGACATGTGGCTGTACAGGGCCTACAGCGGCTCCTTGTACCACGCTGGCGAGGTTGGCTACAGACAAAAATTCACTCAAGGTGACATTATCACCTGCTATTATGACGCTGATAACAAGACGTTGGCCTTCGCAAAAAATGAAACAACAACAACGTGTGTGAGTACTGTGAATGTTTAAAAAAAATCACTGCATTTAATTTATAAAAATATTGTATATAACCTATCATTCCATTGAAATATTTTTTTGGCGCTTATACTGAAAATCTTCAAATTGAAACTGTATGCATATCAACATATGTTTATTATTATTATTATTATTATTGTTGTTGTTATTATTATTCTCTCTTAGATATTTCTCAGAGGTTATTACAACATTCACACAGTTACAAATACACGTGAATCAACGCATCACACACTTTTACATGTGATGGGCGGGGGCGGTGATCTCTTTACATTCGAACCTGAACACTGCATCAACAATGCCAGGCACATTAACCATTACTCTATCGCGCCGCCAAAATTTTCATTAGATATAACTTTAATTAATTTTAGTTATTTCATATTTTTTGTTTTTACGACAAATTGTTACGCAAATGTATGAACGTTCAAAATACAATTTGATATTAATGTTATAAAACACTACATTTTAAATGATTCTGCTCTACACACCAATCCAAATTAGGATTACAAAGTAGCGTTTGAGGATATGACATCATCTGAGGTGTACCCCTGTGTTGTCTTCTACAATCCAAGCAGAGTGGAAGAGGTTCATGTTAAACGTTCAATAATTAATTCTCAAACGTCTTTCCTCTTTGATGTTTTTATGTTTGTTTGTGTGCAACTTGAAAATTCACATACTCTTTGTGCAGTTACTCCAAAACATCTTAAATATTTTTTGTCATTAGAATTGTTGAGAAAAATGAAAAGTTTACTCAAATGATATGTTTCAGGGGCTTACATACGATGAAAAAGAATTTATTTTTAAATTTCATGCATTTACAGAAAACGAAATAACTTGAATGCAGGTAGAAATAGTGGACATGCAAATGATAGTAGTCTCAGGTCTGTACCATGCAGGTGACCCTTGCCTCAACCCCCCTGCGAGCACCATGGTCGAGGAACTCATTCAACTCATGCGATCGTTGCATTCTGATCTGGATGTTTGGACTGAAGTGATAAACGATGTGCTTCTTGACAGGATGAAGATGATGAAAAACATGAAAGTTGTTCTCGAGCGGTCGTTAGATAGCAATTTCATGAAAATGCCAATGTTACAAAATTTGTTAGATGCTTTGGGCAGAGCAGGTTTGTTTGCTGTTTGCTTTTTGTTTGTTGTTTATAGTTCAGGGTTTTAGTTAAATTTATATGTAATTTTTTGGACATTATTTCATTTGAATTTGTAATATCTAATGTAAAATATCCAACATCTTTCATCTACTCCAAACAAAACAGATGAGGATAATGTTGATGTTAATTTTCCTGGTGACACCAAAGCATTGGCACCAAACGTGTATGACGTCTTCATGCAATGTTGGCCAATGTTGGTGCTGCTAGGTGGAATGGATGGAGGATTAAGGATGGGAGGGAGGTGTAGGTCGAAAGTTACAAGAAAGATCGGATTGGTGCTAGGTGCAGCCTGGGTGGGATCAAAAACTGTGAAAGTGGTGTGGGACGATGCAGATGGGTCGATTAAGTAAGTTGAAAATGTACTTATTAATAATATTTATTTAAATTATTGTAATGACTGTTTTTGCTATTTTGGTTTCGAATTGGAGGTAAGCATAAGAATGGTGAAATGGGGATTCCAATAGTTCTTGTGGAAATTCCCATGGTATCGGAAATTATTCCGGTACACTTCGGTAAGAAATGTTTTGAGGAAACGGGAATGACTCAATGGGAGACAAGAATAACTTTCCGGAATGTTTTTTATACAGAGTATCAACATTTTAAAGAGATGTTTTTCCCATTTGTATTACAGAAAATGTTTGAGAACCATTTTTCTCGTTTTCGCTTCTTAAGCATTTTAACATGTAGCTATTTAACGTTGATTGTTAGCTAGGGTCTGTTTGGAGGGATTCATAGTTCTTGTCGGTAAAAAATGGTCGAAAGCTTTTTTTAAGTAATTAAGACAGATGAAAATAGCCTGCTGAATGTTATGCCTACTTGCAAACTGGAAGCCTGGGGACGACTTTACATGTTGTTGGAAAAATTTTTGAAATCATAAAAATTTATTCATCAACTGTCAATGTTGATAATAATTTATAATTTTTGAATGGCAATTTTAGTTTATACTGGAAACGGCTGCAAAAAGTATTTAATTAACTCTCTAGTACATAAGTTGCGTATCAATTGTTCATGTCAATAAAAATAAATATTCTCAAAATATGGTAATACGTTTATGACTATTCTCTCAAAAACAATGCAGTGCTAGTTAAAATATCAATTACAATGGTAATCGTTTGTTGGCTTTGATCTGTAACTTTCCATTTTTATTTTTTTAATAATCAGAATAATTATGTATTAAGTTTAAGTTCTACATTTTGATTGAATTGGTGCAAAAAACTTTGGTTATAGGAGTCTATTTTTTTTTTGAAAACCATTTAAATGTCATAAATCCAAGAATATAAAACATCTAATTATTATAACAATCTCCAAAATAATTTGAGTACAAAATTTAGGCAATGTGGTTATCTATGGGGGCCAACGTGGAAGGTAAAATCTAGATCATGGCTACAGTTTGCAGAGGACTCAGCTGTTATTCCAGGTAACTCAAAAGATGCTCAAAAATCGACTTAAATCAGGCTTGGTACAAGTGGTCAGGGAATCAAATGAGGGTTGACAAATGTTGCGTGTTTGTAATGAGAAAGAAAGAGGGTTCATATGATCAATTTCTACTTAGATTGACAATATACAATATACACATTCTGGTCGTGAAACTGGGATCTGGATTCAAATACCTAAGTAAAACATATGATTCGGAATTGAAAGATCCAATAAATAGCCAAAGAAGAAATGGTTTCCAAGTTGTCACGGCTGCGGAAGATCACGACTGATTTTGATGTTCCGGCACAAATGAAGTTACAAATTTTAAGAAGATTCATCCCTTCACAATTAAAATTTGAGCTACGAAGATTCATCCCTTCACAATTAAAATTTGAGCTACGGAGATTCATCCCTTCACAATTAAAATTTGAGCTATGGAGCTACAACTTCTCCATGACATTGATCGTTAGTGCTTTGGACAACCTAGTGATAGAAACAGTCAGAAATTGGCTAACAATGCCAATCAGCGGTTGTGTGTTAGAGATATTGGGTCCACCATTGAGGATTGTAGGCCGAAATATTGTTTCACTCAAGAACTCTGCGCTGAAAATGAAAATGAAACTCCACAACTATTTTAAAACGAATTCAAATACTGAAATTCGATGTCTTTGATGGGAAACAGGAATAGACTACAAAATGTTCGACAACTTTCTTTTGAAATCGGACTTAACATCTCAGTCGCTAAAATGCTTAGAAAAAACCCGGATAGATGCATGTTGGAATCACATTGTTTTTCTTCGTAGTCAAGATACCCTTAGCAAATCTGTGACAGCGACAATATCCTCATTTCAAATAACTCATTGGTTTAAGAAATAAGATACGTTTCCTGAAACGCTCTACAGGTTTGCCAGAAAATATGTCATTCAACAACTACCGGCCAACGTAAAATTTACACAGATGGGGTAAAACACAGGATGCACTATGTCCCCTTGCAGTGCGCAACAGACAAACAATCACATAATGAATCTGTAGCGGCCCTGGCAAGATATACAGAGAGACATAATAAAATCCTATCAGAAATAGTTAACGGGTTGATGGCATGTCGTTCTAAGGACTGCCTAATATTTGCAGATATAGTATCGATTGGAGTCCTACCGATGGCACAACTGTTCAACACTCTCCGATCAGACATTGCCATTCTGCACGACTAAAAAATAGACGTCATCGAATTGACGGTGTGCCACGAGACGAATCTGAAATCGTGCTCGAACACATCCTATAAAAACTGTTCTATTACATTAAAAACATTTGAAATTACTTCGATTGGATTTTTTAATACTGTTTGTCATCAATTAAAACTGATTGGCCTTTTTCATTACCGGATAAACTAATAAACTCGATTATCAAATCGTCGTATGCCACTGAATAACCATTTTTAGATAGATTACCTCGGACACTTTTCCGAGATAATGAGCATTGTGGTTTTATTATACTGTACGTTGAATTTAATTTTAATTTTATTTCATTTATTGATTTAATAATTTGCTTTGGTTGTAATAAAAGAGTTTTAATTATTATTATTATTATTTAGTGATGTGTCTGCAGAGAACTTGATACCCGTTGAGCAGATTAAATTTCAAGTGAACAAGTTGGAATCGATAGACGGAGATTTGTTGATTGAGTTATTCAACGTGGCAACGTTCAAGCATGACAAAATTCATTTGGATATTTCCTACTCTCAGGTTGGTCAAGTTGGCTGTTTCTTTTCTTTAAACTCGAGTTTTATTTAGTTGCTTCTTTCTCTTACTGTTATCATCGTCTTCATCATTCATTCATTCATTCAATGATCCTCTGTAATCCCTTAAGGGACCGTTGAGGCCGATGGTATTCTTCTATCTCTCCAAAATTCTTTTCTTTCCCTCGCCATCTTCATTGAGCCCAATGTTCTAACCCCCGTCCATTCCGTGATATCATCCATCCACTTCCTCACAGGTCTTCCAACTTTTTTCTTCCAGCCCCTCTTTCTCATCAGTACTTTTTTGATCAGTCTGTCGTCTGTTATTCTGCAGATGTGCCCAAAGATACCCAGCTTTCTTTCCTTGACACTTTCATACACAGTTTTTTGTCTTCCAAGTTGTTTTCTCATGGCATCGTTTCTTATCTTTTGTCTCCAACTGATTCCCAGCAACTTTCTATAACAATGCATCTCGAATGCTTCCAGTTTGTTTGGACTACCATCGTGTTATTAGCGTTTTTACGACAGTGTAGCAAGCTCCTGTCAACCATTCCTTTCTATCCGGACTTTGGACCGGCACCTGATATTACTGGATCGCAACTCAGGTGGTGGAGTGTGGTTTTCTGTCTGGATTTGCTCCCATAGCCTTTCCCATGAACAGGTATGCCGCAAGGCAGCGGAGGTTTGAAGTCAGAGTTTGCCTTCTCCTAGGTAAATAGCCGACCAAGGCTAACGAGCTTCACCTGCCCGAAGCAACTGGTTATGGCGCCAGTTATTTGCCTTCGCCCCTTCTCCTTTTAGTTTAAACAGTTCTGCCGCGTGAAGGCCAGAAGTTGGGCTTGGTTGTCAGAGGCTCTTTGAGACGCTTGCCATATGGGAGCATTTTATAGATGATGGGAGCTTATCCCCATCACCACCCCCGGCATTAACAACCATTCAGAACCGTCTACAGCATGATCAACATCATTATCATCATGTCTTCATCATGATCAACATCATTATCATCATCGTTGTCGTCATCATCAACATCAGGACCACCACCATCATCATTTCATTATTGTTCTACTGAAATATGTTTGCAAATTTTATTATTTCTCAAAACCAAAAATATGACCACAAATGTTTTTTCTTTGTGAAGCAGCTGGGGTAAACTGTGCGTGCGCGTACACATTTGTACGTACGCGCACGCACCGCGTTATAAACGCATGGCATACGTTTGTCTTCGAGCAAATGCATTCAAACCAGGTCATTGCAGTGACATTCAATATTTATTTTACGGCTGTTAGCAATAAATACTGCTACATTTAATTTTGTAGGACGAAACAGATCGTACACATTACAAACACGGTGGGTATGATTACACTTGTTGTTTCTTGTCAATGTTTACTTGCTCACCTACAATGGCGTTACCAATCACATTCATTTATTAAATTAGCGTCTATCTATATTTTATCATAGAGCGTAAACGTCTGGTAAACTAGAACCAGTTTATTTTTAAAATTATCAAATTTTTGTTTAAATATTTCACACTTAAAATTTTTTTACACTGCATTGAGTTTCAAAAATTAGGCACTTGTAAAAATTACGTTAGCGATTTATCATCAATGATAAAATTTTAAAATTGTAAACGTTTAACAGATTGCAGTTTCTTTAGACTGAACAAATTTAATAATATTTGGAAGCAAATGACCGCTGCCACTTGCAGTTCAAGGGAAGAACATGATTTGAATTTGAACGAAAGGGATCAGAATCCTCTTTTGGACGAGAAGGAAGATGTACATAATGAGGAAGGGAACGTTGAGATGGTGATCCACCAGGTGCTGTCCTTACAGATCAGCTCTCTCAAATGTCTCCAAGCCCTACTGGATAACGATGACCTGACTCAATCACTCTTGCAGTCAATGTGCAGTCTCATTGCAAATGGTCAAGAGTATTATGAAGACAGCAAGGAGTCCAACGATGAATTGAAAAAAAATTGTACTGGTGGTATTGAGGAATGTTTCCAGGGTTCAAACAAAAAAACTCTAACATCGGCTAAGTCTATGGAGTTGTTACTCGATGATGAATCAACCAAACAACGCCTGGTCAGTTCTGAGAGTTCCAGTGAGATATATGACCTAGGCCCTGGTAACGAGTTCACTTATTATGTTCATGCAAAGAGGCGGTCACATCCTCACGACCACCAACATGTGAAACAGTCGAAACACGGCTTTTTGCCTCCGCAGCAAAATTCTTCTGAAGACTATCAGCCACCACAATATTATCCTAAACTAAATCAAAACATTTTTGATGATGACATTCCATTAGTTAACAGCAACTTGAATCGTACAACCACGTTGATTGAAGCTTTGCAGTTTGTTTACAAAAATATTGTAAAGTTATCTCTGGATCCCCTTCTCTACGGAGATCAAGTGAGCGTATCTGATCTCGAACGTGTCATGATTATGACATACATGCATGCCTCCAGAGGTTACATCAAGGAGCAACCACCGCAGAATAGCTTGGACTGTTGGTCTTATTTATCATTTGTTTGATTTCACTTATATTTGTCCTCATTTTAGTTTTTAAAATTTTGAGTCTATTTATCCATTAATAAAAGCGGAGTTACCGTCTTCAAGCTATCTATTCATTTTTTTTAAATCATAAACTTTTATGAGGATACACGCGAAGATGTTTTTAGAGTAATTCGATTTAACAGAATATGATAAAAATATTTGTTGAAATTTCAAAAATATTAATTAAATAAATCTACAATATTAATTCGCACAGTACTGCAGCGTGTGTTCGCTAGGTTGAGGTCATTTAATAATGAAAGTGGGGAGCATTCATCGGAGCAGCAAGAACCAGGAGGCCAGGTTCCTCATCTCCCAGTCGCTCTGTCTAAAACCACTTTGTCAGATCTTGCAACCAGGTTTGTTTCTTTAAAAGTATTTTAGGTGTTCTGTATGTCTTTGCAATATGAACAGCACACTGTACGTTGATGTTAATGTTTAACTGTATAACTTCAATTACATTGTTTGTAAGAACTTTATTGGTGCAATCTTTTTGCAAAATTTCATCTCCATTGATTAGAATTTTGTTGTTGGCATTTGCAAATTCGTCATTAATTTTTTCAATATCACGCACGGAACTCTATCTAGTATTTGTTAAGAATTTTCATTTTGAATTTGAATATTTAAATTCGGCAGAATTTAACTTTTTTCACCTAATCACCATCTCATTTGATCATTACAACTATGCTTTAATATCCACAAACTTCGTGAAAGTTTCATTGTTTTAAATATGCTGTAAATCGTGTAATTATGTTTTTAACTTAATCTGGTTTCTTCATCTTAAGGCCCTTCAAATGTAAATATTAAATTTTATGTTTTCAGTTTTGTTATTGATTATTAAAAATTTTTCAGTTTTGTTATTTATTGATTAATAAAAATTTTTTAGGGACTAAACAAATATTTTACGTTTTTCCTGTGCTATATTTTTATATATTATTTCTTGTTACAATATATTATTTGGAAAATCACGTCGTGCAAGTTCTCGATCTGTGATTTTCAAACTCTCTTATTGCTTATTGAAATATTTTATTTTTATGACAGTTCTGTAGAAGATCGATATAATACTGTTGAAATAAATGAAAATCGTGTGTGCAAAAGTAGAGGCAGAGGTAGGATTATGAGGTCATTCTTGGAAAATTCAAGAGAAGCAAGTAGGACTCGTGCTGTGAGGAATGACTCTTCACATGATTCAGCGAAAGTTATGGTTGATGGCAGCTTGAGAAGTGCTGACGATGAGAATCGTGTCTCCGTAGGAAGAGGCAGAAGGAGACAAATCATGAGGGAGGCCGTGTGTTATGCTCCACCAATCATGCTGAGATCTGTTAAAATTCGTTATGATGCTAACCAGAAAAGGTTATTTGGTGTTCCGTCATCAATTTTAAATTTTATTTGGTAATTGCTCATCGCAGGAGTTTGTATCCGTTGTATTGTTTTTAGAGCAAAATTTATTTTTTTTTTTTTTTTTTTTTTTAATAAATATTTGCTTAATGCACTCAGATTTAACAAAAATAACAAAAATAACAAAAAACTGCTAATGATCTAATTTAAATACAGATGAAATATTATTGAAATATAATAAAAACTATATGTTATATGGTTTGAATTATTTTTTCAAAATTTTTTCTAGAACCTCTCCGCCATCATTTCCTTTGTTTCCAGATCCACCAGGTGAATCCGTTTGCAGTTTTTTGCGTTTTGTTCCGATACTTCGTCGTTTTCATTAATCTAAAACGTGACTCATATGTAATTATCAACTGTTAAGAGGAAGTTTGTTTAAACTACCGCAGCACCATCTTCCTCGTATCGATCTCAAGACCTGCCTTCCTCCATTGCTCAGCACTTGCCAAGTTTGTATGATATGGGTTTCAACCAAACACAGATCAAGCAGGCAATCCATGTTCTTGGTATGTTTCAAAATTTTTAAGATCAATCTATATTTAGTCTATTTTAATTTCAATTTTTTTTTTCAAATTTTATATTTTATAATAATGAACAACTTAATTTCGGACGTTTATTCAACATTTCTAATATAAAATATTTATAACCCTAACCCCACCAACAGTTTAATAATATTGTTAAGCATGCACATGCCTCTTAATCGTCTCAAAAAGTAATAGCCGGTCGCCTAAATTTGTTTTCAGCTTCATCATGGCACAAAATTTTGTTCCCACTTTGGTCAGAAGGTCGTACATATCATACTTTTTGAAAGAACTTCATTGGCTCTTAGTACAATGGCGAAATATTTATAAAATTTTCTTCAAAATCGGAATTTTTAAATCAGTCACTTCACACAACTATATAATTTTTTTTCCTCGCCATAAATATGACAAAAACCCTCGGCACTTTTTTATCATATTTTCTTAATTTTCTTTTTGCCAAATCAATGTCAAGGATTTCAACACGCAGCTCTACATGTTTTAAATGGCCTGCCACTGAAACAGCAAAAAAAGCTGCAATTCTCTGGCAAGTTTAAAAAAACTCAAAACTTTCCCGTTAGACGATGCAGGTTCAAGATGCCTCTGAGGCAGCTTAACTTTTGGCGTTTAATAAATCACTATATTACGATTGTTGTTAAATGTAATTTAATTGGTATTTACCATAATTGTTTCTAAAGTAAAACGTACAGCCGAGCAACCAAAAATCAAATTAGGTTCTCATAAAATATTCACGATGAATTGAAGGCAATCAATTTAATGAAAGTTTTTCAAAGCACTGACCACAAATGTTAAGGATGTTAATACCGATGTAAACATAATTTCTTACCAACATTTAGCATTGCTCGTGAACTTCTATTACCTCACCCGGCAACTTACTACATGACTTCACTAGTGACATGTTTCTGCTGAATTTTAGCATTACCAAGTTTTCAAAAAGTTTATCTTTCATTTTAACGCCAGTGAAAACTTCGCACCAGAAACAACGATCACGCCAATTTTTCACTTGTCACGAAGTAAAAGTACAACCAAAAATAGTAGTTTAAATTTTTTTTTATATTCGATGTCTTGAATGATGGAATCTGCTAGAAATCTAATAACAAACTAAACTCAGGAATAACGGGAGAAAACATTGAAAGTAACATTGGAAACATGGCAGTGTGGATGTTGGACAATCCCCTCCCTCCCATGGCACCATTTCATCGATCCGCCAACCATCAGTGGACCAATGCTCCACCGAATGACAATCCCGATGAAATAGAAGACAACGAAAACATTCCCAGCCAGTGAGTAGATACTTCAGTCAATAAAATACTTCAAATATATTGTTTATTGTTTGTTATTTATTCCGGGAATCATTTATATTATCTGTGATCACCAATTGCGTTTTGGCGCAGTTTTCATTTTTTCCATCAATAAATTCACCACAGATCATTAAGAGCTTCAGATTTAGCAAATTTTGATGGTGGCTCAGTGTCCGAGAAAAGATTGAGGCAAGATGCTTTGGCAAAGTTTTTTGGCAGCAGGTTTCAAGATGCTCCTACTTCCGTAGTTCATTCGTCTAATGTCGCGAGTAGACAATTGCGTTAGTCGTTTTATTATTCCGTCAACATTTTATTCAGCTTAAAAGCTTCTTAAAGTTGAAACTCGGTTTTGAATTAACTTGGGCGTAACATAATTCCTGCTGGCTTAAAACCAGCTTCATCAGGTCGTATAAATGGTTATATTTTTTTTTTTACTAAATTTGAGTTAACATTGAATGATTCAAATTATGTTAGCTATATTCAATTTTTATGCAACACAATACCTATGCTACATTGTTTTGTTACGATATATTGCTAACATTTGTAAATTATTTCGTCTTTAATTTCAATTAATCTTTCAATCAAATTTGTTGTATCAATAAATAACTTATATTTGCTTGCTACTAAATGATGCAGGTCTGTTCTACGTAATCTTATTGAAATATTTTCCAGTGAGCAGGGCAAGTCGAATACCGAGTATGAACAGCCATGGTGAGGAGCGCGTGAGATGCCAGAAGACAATTGATGGCGAGGTTGATGAGGGTTTGTTATCAGTGCGCAGACAACTTCAGGAGCACCTTGTCAGTAAGGTGCATAAACGTCGGGCAGTCAGTAGCGTGGAAGTTCATAGTGGAAGAGCCGCACCTGACGAGGCAGATGCCAATTCAAACTCAGATGACGCCAAAACTACACATTCGGTTTTCATATTTTTTCATAATTATATTTACATTTTGACTTTTAATGTTTTGGCTTGTAAAGTAAGAAAAAGAGTTTTGTAAAAATTTCATGTATTTGTTGAGAAAGAGTTTTTTTTTAGGATTTCATGTATTCGTTGAGGAGTTTTGTGAGGATTTCGTGCAAAGTCCACGTTCAGACTTTACATTCTAGCATATTTGAAACTAATAATTATATTAATGTAACAAAAAAAAGTTGGAAACGTGCTCTACTCTACCGACTCTGAACAATTTTCGCCATTAAAGACAATTATCGGTTCGAGGCCAGCTATCTCGAATATCTCTGCTAGTAAAATTTTCTCACTTGAAAATGTTTTCACGCCTGCACTGTTACAAGATGTATGTCATCGGATGTTATTGAACACCTCAAAATAATCAACGTAGGGGTAATATTCTGCTACTCAGTTTCTAAAAAAAGAACAATGGAGTTAAAAACCTGATGACTTCCAGCCATCCAGATTGTTCAGATTGTGCATCGACCATGTTGTCACGAAAGGAAGTCAAATCAAATCATAAATCAAAATTCTATTTATTTAAAATTCAAAAACACAAAATGAAAAAAAACAGACTGTGCGGATTTACGGAGATCACAAACTTTTAAAGACTACCGTGAATGCTATAATCAATTTAAAAATAAGAACACACATATATACAAAAGTTGATCAATTCACTAGAATTATGACTAACTGGTATTACCCATTACAGTTAAGTCATTAACATATGCATAAGCAGTTCAATTGCACACAATACAACATATAATCATTGTATTTAATTAAGATGAACTTCTTATTACGAATTAAATCATTTCATTCAAGGGATGTGGCACTCTATGTCCGTTATGTGAAAAGAATATATCCAACCATATCATTCACTTCAAAATCAAACATCCTGGCTGTTCAAGTAAGCTTAAAAATTTTTTATAGTTTCTTCACACACTCGATTCTACTCATACATTTGGTTTTAATACATTACTGTTTATAGATGTTTGACTCGTGTGATGAAACACTGAAAGTTTGTAACAAAAAGCAAATGTCAATAGCACTGATCGAACTACTGCACGATGAATATAAATTTTATAATTTGTATAATCTTATATAGTTTTATTTTGGTTTTAAAAATTATGTATAATAAAAATCGTCTTATTATGTTGAGATTAATATTTTATCGTGAAATTATATATTAGAAATAAATATATATTTAAATAACCAATCAATCAACCAACTAATCAACCAATCAGTCAACCAATCAATCAACCAACCAACCAATGATACTTTTGTAGATTTTCAAAATACTTTCCCAACTTTGACAAATTTCACTAAGTTCAATTTTTCCACTTCCGGCTCATTCGGCAGCCGCACATCGTCGAACAAACAAAAATCATTTCGCCACAATTAATTATAGACTACGCCAACATGGGTGTTGCACTGATCAACAACAACTTGGAGGCCGTATCACAAGCCAGTCAGTTCAGATGCGGTTACACCTCCACTCCTCAACCATCCTACTGCCTCTGCCTCAAGTGTCATCGGGATTATCTCGAGTGGCGGCGTTTCCTTTACGATTCTGAAAACGAAGAACATTTCAACGAAGATGATAAAACAAACTTGGGAGAGAATTTTGCCGATGTCAAGTTTGCTCCGTTTTTTATGGTTTTAATGTTTTGGAACTGGGGTGGGCAAACATTTTGCTCTGTGGGCCGCATTGAGAACTATTTTGCCTTTGAAGGGCCGCATATGTACTTCAATAGCAAATTTTTTCGACCCGGGGGAGAATTTTTTTAAGATTTGTGGCTCCTTTTTTTTAGTCATAATGTCTGGCTGACGACATTTTTTTTGCGAACAAGGCCTCGCAGGCTGCATAAAATAGCTTCGCGGGTCGCAGTTTGCCCACCTCTGCTTTAGAATATCAAGCATATGCTAAAATTACTTATTTTCTCCATTTTCTGATTTGTGTTTTATTTATTGTCCTGACCTCTATCCCACCAGTCTGCTACTGCTGCATCCGCACCGAACGTTCTATTGCTTCTTCTTTATTTGCTTGTTTCATTGCAAACTGAATTAGCTTCAATTCTTGTTCTATCCAGTTGTCCAACTCTTGAAAGTTTTTATAAGGTTGAATTAAATTAATTCACCGTGACCTTACTAAAGATATTTCAATTTTGTAATTAAATTTCAATTCTTGTACGTCTAATTTTTATACAGCAGAAAATTTTGTTATATAATTTTCATTGTACCTGTTTCATCAACAGCTATGTATGATTCGTTTTTTTATGTCCGTGAATTATTTAACTTACTTTCTTCTTTATAATTGTTCCTACTCAGTGATCTGTTGCGAGATCTTCCGATAATTTCCATTTCAATCAATTCCCATTTGGTTGATTTGATGAAGTGATATTGATAGTTTATTGATACGATGGGGAGACAGGCGCCCACGTATATGATGTGACGTGATCTGACGGGATGTGCTTGTGATGTGATCTGATCATGTGATACGTTGAACGTAATAACTAGTTAGTTGAGTTTTAAAAATGAGAGAAATTGTCACACATATTTTCACCATTTCCCCACTTAGCAAGTCACAAGATGAAAAGCGCAGCATTGAATTGGACTATCTCATTTCTATGGCCCCCGATTTGCTGGGTTCAATTTGCCATTCTCCTCCTCCTCCAGGTGTTGGTGTTCTGTCCGAGGAAGAGTTAGATGGCAAAGGTTGTTTTCCTTTTTATCATGCTATAATTAGTTATATCATAATTAGAGTTCCGTGTGATAATTTGCTTGTACTGCTCTTATGTAACTATTAGTAACACACACACACTCACACACACACACACGTACAAATCTGTTCATATTTATTATTTGCATTTTGAAAAATTATTAGTTGAAAAATTTCGCATAGATCAGTTGCATCTCACGTGAATAATTAACTTTTTATATAAATTGTGCAAGTTGTTTTTTATTTTGGAAAAAGTTCAACAAGTTTTGTGATTGTGACTTGCCTGTTGTCAGCCAGTTTTGAATGAAATTTCGGACGTCAGGATAGTGAGTCTAAGTTTTAAGAAACAAAAACATTTATTTGCTTCTTATCACGTTTTGTCGTGGAACAGGAGTGTTCAATTTTTGGTTTTGTGATGATAATTACGATGTTCCTTTTTGAAATGGAAGGAATAAATTAATAAATTGAAAAACAGACGTGAATACAACACTTCTCATGGATGCGCTGAAGAACAGTCGTGAGGACTCCGATTCCCAGCCACACTCCAGTTCGCCTTCCGTCGACATTAGAGCTGATTTAGAAAAAACTTTAAGTTCATTCATTGGTCACTCGGAAAGTGGAAATCTTCCGGCACCGGTCACGTGGGCCAACCACGATGTGCTGGGAATGAAAGATGCCAAGTTCGTCTGCCAACCATTTTCAGGTTCGAACGTCGTATCGAAGGTAACCGACCGTGCAAGCAACCCTAATATAGCTGATCAGTTGTCAGTCACTTCCGAGAGCACAGCTACTCGATTGTTTGCTTTGTTGCAAGCGTTTGAAGGTCACAAGGTCATGATCTACAGGTCGATCATATTTAAACTCATCAAAGTACTCAGCTCAAGGTTCGTTCATGTTCTTCCTTTCCTTCATGTTCTTGCTGTTCAAGTTGTTCATTTTTTTCTTGTTCAAGTTCTTCAAGTTCTTGCTGTTCAAGTTGTTCGTTAAAACTTTTCACTTATTCTAGTTTTTCATTTATTCAAGTTGTTCATTTGTTGTTGTTGTTCATTCATTCATTGAAACTGCTCATTTGTTCAAGTTGTTCATTTGTTAAAGTTGTTCATTTGTTGAAGTTGTTCATTTGTTGAAGTTGTTCCTTTGTTCAAGCTGTTCATTTGTTGAAGTTGTTCATTTGTTGAAGTTGTTCCTTTGTTCAAGCTGTTCATTTGTTGAAGTTGTTCATTTGTTCAAGCTGTTCATTTGTTGAAGTTGTTCATTTGTTCAAGTTGTTCCTTTGTTCAAGCTGTTTATTTGTTGTAGTTGTTCATTTGTTCAAGCTGTTCATTTGTTGTAGTTGTTCATTTGTTCAAGCTGTTCATTTGTTGAAGTTGTTCATTTGTTCAAGCTGTTCATTTGTTGAAGTTGTTCATTTGTTCAAGTTGTTCATTTGTTCAAGCTGTTCATTTGTTCAAGTTGTTCATTTGTTCAAGCTGTTCAAGTTGTTCATTCAAGTTTTTTAATTATGATTTAACTGGCTGCTGGTGCATAATAATTTGCAGTGGCTTATTTAATGTTTTCGTCAGAATTTATCATAATTTTTGTTTGACGTTGTCATTGAAGCTGCTCGTCATTCATTTTAAAAGATTGATTTCTTGGTTCGGTGGTGGTCAGTTGTTATTTTGACTAAACAGGAAGTTGACGTTCCAGATCGTGCCAACCCTGAAGAGTGTGGGCCTGATGGATGTTAAGACTTTGATCAGACTGCTGGCCTTGGTCACCAGGAAGAAGCAAAAAGAAGTTGACGAGGAAGACAATGATGATGATGTTGTTGTTGATGATGATGATTTCAGTCCTACAAACTCCTCTTGTCATGATGATGAGGGTAAGCTGTTGTATTCTTTATTACGTTTCTCATTTATTTTTTATTTTACTTGATATTTTTTGACTTTTTATACACTAAATTTGTTTGCTGTACATTTGTGACCGTCGGCCTAAACAGTTTTTGAGGAATTAAAAATGATCATTAATGAATGAATGAATTAATGAATTAATTAGTTAATTAATGATTGACTGACTAACTGTCCGACCAACCGACTGATTGATCATTTTAATATTTAAAAATTCTTGAAAGTATTCGTCCAAAATTTAATGTTGATACTAACGCCAGTATTTGTACGTGTTTGTACATGTTTCCATATATTATGCTTTAAACATTGTTTATGAGAATATTCTTTTTAATTTCTTTGATTTATAAACTTCGAAATAATTTTTCTTCAAGTTTTTGTTAATAATTTATTCGTTTCTAATTCGTTTGTTATTTTAACTCTTGATGCATTCAGCAGCGGAAAATTTTTGCGACCGATTTGCAATTTAAGCAAACGAATCCCATCTTTATAACCTTATTTTTTTTCAAAACGTTCTATCAGTCTTACCCCTCATTTTTGGAAACAAAATACATTCCCTAAAATTAATTTGTGTATACTCTAGGGCATCTTTTTTTCAAATTGGTTTTCCTGGTCTACCATCAGAATGCCATTTTTCACAATTTCTTACAATGTGACCTGGCAATTTGCAATAATGACATATCAGTCGCTTTGGTTTGCTGACAAATTTATCTTGTTTTTGACCATTCATGTTTAGTGATGATGACCTTTTAATTGTTGCTTTGACAAATAATACTTTATTACATTCTGTTTTGCCTTCCAAAGATCTCTCATAGCTACACAGTTGATCTGTGAGTGTTTCGACTGTTTTTTCAGTCTTGTTCAACAATCTCCAACTTGCAGCAAATGAAAAATATTTTTCTGGCAAAGTTTCAATTATTTGGCACATCAGCAACAAGTCAATGTTTTCATCTTTTCCTAACTCAACCTTTAAATCTTTCCAAAGATTCTTGAGTTTTGTGACGAGTGACAACATCATCGCTTTCATCTATTTTATAACTGAAGAACTCCATGCATAAGTTGTATGCTTTATCTTCATTAACTTCATCATACAATCTGTGAAGTTCTAACCAAACATCTCTGGCATTACTGAATGAACGAACTTTTTCATACGTTTCATCGGTCATGTTGGTTGACACAATAATCATAGCACTACAATCTGCTTTATTGAATCTGTTCAAAGCAGTTTGATATTTTGCTATCTCATCTTTATTTGAGTCATCGTTCGATTCATCTGGAACTTTTAATTTGCCATTTACTACATCCATTGCATCAGGAATGCCGCGTAGTATTATACAAACCCTCGATTTCCAGTTCAACCAATTACTTTTGCCTTCTAGGTGTTTGATTTGCACTTTTATTAAATCCATTTCTTCCTTGTATTTTCAATTTGACCTTTTAATTAGAGGCAAAATATCGATTTTCAGAGAATGAAGAAGCACGTGCTTTCTCTTCACTTCAGTCTTCACAAAGGAATCTTCCGATTTTCTGGGCCCATAACCTGTTAAATTTCTTGTTACGTAGATTGCTTAATTAATTGATACAATATTGAAAGACATTAAAAGAAGAGAAATAAACTAAGCAACGTTCTCGACTTGTTTATTATCCACCGGATTAACAGAAAAGGAAAGAGTGAAGTTACATACAAAGCAAAGAACATTTGGTACAAAGAAAAATAAATGTATATTATAAATCATAATGTTAAAATATTAATTTGTCATAATAAAACTTAACACCATCTACACTCCACTCACTCCTCACTCCCATCTTCTACGCTCCACTCACCCCTCACTCCCATTTTTTACACTCCACTCACCCCTCACTCCCATCTTCTACACTCCACTCACCCCTCACTCCATTCTTCTTCACTCCACTCACCCCTCACTCCCATCTTCTACATTCCACTCACCCCTCACTCCCATCTTCTACACTCCACTCACCCCTCACTCCCTTCTACACTCCACCCACCCGTTTGAAACATCTACTACAACCTCACCGTTGCTGGGTCTTAAATCTGGTCAATCCTCATTGTTAATGCTGTAAAAGAAGCAAATTATCTGAACGTATTAAAATTTCAGCTGGGCGCCACTTACCTTATTCTGGCCGCCACAATATGTTCTTATCACTGAAGTCTGCTGCTAATTATTTTTCATCACTTTTTTCATTTACAGGTGTTAATGATGAAAGTTATGAAACATGTCAGGCTCAGATGTCTATCTCGTTCTTATTTATTAATAATTAATTACTCTCATCTCTTCTTTTTCACATGACAGTATGTGAATGTTCTGACCTTGTAACGGAACATCGTAACTGTGTTTTGTATTGTTTGTGCAAACGCGTCGATAGATGTAAACTAAAGATGTCTTAAACATTTTCTGCCAATTTTTATAAATATTGTTTTGTTTGATTACATTTTCATTATTATTTTGAATTTTCATTTTGAAATTTACATGTACAGGCTTCCATAATTTGAACAATGCCAAGAGAGCGAAATATTTATGCGGAATGTTGGAAGATGTTGTCATTTTTCATCCTTCATCTTTCCACACCTTGTCAGACGTTTGCTTGCAGGTTCATTTCTTTTCTTGTTATACATGTTCTGTTGGTTCGTTTGCAGTTTTATTTTCAACAAATATATCAGCGGTGCTAATGTCAAATTTTTTACGCACTTCTTTAAGGCCTACTTTTTTAATGACGGTGTAATGGGCATATTCACAACTTTTCTATGTTAGACGCAAATTTTTCAATATTTTCTAATGAAAATTTGAAACGCCATTTAATGGTGACTTTATCATTAAAGTGTAATTAACTTTCATGCATTGATGTTAAAAAGATGGTTGGAAGGTTTTTTTTTACAACACCATTAAAACGAACAGAAACCCTAAATAATTCTTAAACGTTGTTAAGAATCTTCTCCGAATTGCAAGTGGCTCGAAGAAAAGTGGAAGGCCTATGATGGATGTGAATAATTATAAAGAAGAAGTCACCTTGTCATTTCTGGTTACTAAGATGCTAGTCAGGTTGTTGTGTGCTATTCAGAGGCCGAGTAATCAATCTTGTTTGCATCATATTGCACCTTTTTGCACATCCACTCCATCAGCCAGTTTGTTTCATTCATTGCATTTGAGAATGAATTATTAATTGAAATGTTTTTTAATTATTATATCACAATTTTTAATTGATTCGGCAATTGATAAATTCGACATTTTTGATTCCTTTAAACTCAAATTAATGTTTTATACGAACATTTTTCAGAAGATGAAACAAAAACGTGGAAAAAGAAAAAAGAAAACATTCTAATGACGGCCAAATCTCAAACTTTAAAGTTCTGCAAAAGTCGTGTTGAATCCATTATGAAACTGGTTGATGGCTTATCCGCTTGTTGTCTTTCAAATTTTATAAATTCGAGCAGGCGAGAATGGTTCGCCGAGCAACTGGTCCTCACGATGATGGCTCTGCAGAAGAACAAGGCGAGCAAGGAGGATGACAGTAACTGCTTGGCTGATTTGAATTTTGACATTCCTTCGTGCTGCACTAATAAGTATGAAGGCCACGAAGGTCACATCACTTCCTGCGTGTACCACCACAGGAAACATCTGCTGGCCACCAGGTTAATTCTGCTCTTGCTAGGGGTCTCTGTATCATTTCTTATCTATTTCAATTTCATATTTAACTACTTAATTTTCTGCATATAATTTAAAACAATGTAATAAGTTTATCAAACAAGAGCATTACCTCTATTACACATATTTAAAATGGAAGGGGAATAAAACGGTTTAACCGCTGACAATACTACAGCGCTGAAGACGGAACAATTCGCATATGGAACATGGGCTCCAAAAATGTCGTTTATCCCCACGTTCAGCACATCTGTCTGGTTCCGCAGAGCTCTCAGCGTGGCGGGAGTCAGCATTGCACTCGCCTGCAACATCTGTCGTTCAATATTCACGCAACGCATGTCGTCTGCTCGTCCGACGAAGCTGCATACGTCTGGTCCCTTCGAGGTCAGCGTCACTTTCAATTTTTCTTATAATCCTCAGTTGGCTTTCAACTAATAAAATGTTTTGCTGATGTTTCTTTTATGTTATCTTTGTAATATATTTTCCACAACATCAAACGAAATCAGCTGCCACTTCATGTTCGTATTTTTGCGGTCGTATATGCCGTTATAATAATAAAAATAATAATGATAATAATAATAATGATAATAATAATGCACAATTGTTATTTCATTAGGTCGTATATTTTTTGTTATTTTAATGCATCATCCATTTAAATGTTTCGCCCAAATGCTGTTTGGCATTTTCGGCGGTTAATTGCAAAGAAATGCAAGAGAAGAATAATTGTAAAATAATTTTAACGTAGTGACCAAGTAGTTTTAGAAGGACGTATCTGTTGAGCGAATAAGTAGCTGGTGATGCTTGCACGCTTGCCTCCAGATGAAAGAGATCCTCTGCACATTGCCATCAGACTGATAACCGCCATCTCAATGCCCACGAGAAGAATGAAGCTGAAGAAACGGAAGTCGAGTGCAAGTGATGGCTATGATGATTATGAGGAGGAAGACGATGATGGTGATGATGAGGAGACTGACGCTAAAGAGGATGGGAGTTGTTACCGGTTTGCGTATGGTGACGTGTTGAAGTTTGTGGTTGGGAAGCAAGATGGTTCGGTGGATCTGGTTGAGGTGAGGGAGGGCGAAGATGATGATCACGTTGTCACCAGACTCTCCGGCAAATGTAACGGTTAGTGCCTCATTACATTATTGTACGGTGCGTGTTGGTTTATGTAGTTTTGAATTTTGTATGACGTTTGAACATTTTGACGAACGTTGCAATCTTCATCACCACCGCCACACAGCCAGCGTGCAGAGGATAAGTTGGTTGTACGAAACCGACGTGCGAATCGTAGCTGCGTACTCCGATGGCTCCTTCCACCTCTTGCATCTCAGGCAGGCTGTGCCCGTCGTCGTCGTGCCGGCTCATGTGGTCGGCTCCTTCTTCTTAGTTGTTTCTTATGATGAGCTTTTAGTTATCTTTTTAACCGCTGGTTCATTGAATGAATAACGATTTAATGATTGATTTTTTAATCGACAGAATAATCTGGAGAGGATTTTAAGTGTTGAGTTTGTTAATTTTTAATTGCAGTTGAACGATGATTTGTTTTTGAAACACAGAATTCTCTGAATGACATGTGTTGGGACGCTTCTGGAGCGTATCTGCTCACTTGCGGTCAAGCTTCGGCCAAAGTGTGGAAGTTTAAGGGGTCGGTATTTATGAGGGACATCAAAAATTGCACTGGCAGGCCAAGTGGCGTGGTGTACAACTTGGTCGGTCGCCCTGGCAGGCAGCGTGCATCGATGGACGATGGAGTGTGCAGTGAGGACGACGAACCTTGCTCCGTGCTGGAGTTGCCTTCCGGGACTGGTGCTGCTGTTGTGGCGGTCCAGTGGTTCACCGGCACGGTGGAAAGCAGGAATGACGAGCAAACGTGCACGGACACTTGCAGTGATGACGTCTTCAGCATGCTTGCTTGGTAAGTTCAACTTTTTTTCATCTACATTACGTCGGACATATCGTTCAGCATTGAAAAGCAGATAGTTTTTTTTCAATTGACTAGATAATGTATAAGCAGACTTGCCAATATGTTTATTTGTAATTTTATCGTTTGTTGAAACCCGCAGTGGACAAGCGGATGGAGTTGTGACTGTTTGGATAGTTCGAAGTTCTTCCGACACTCTGATGACAGTTAGAATGAATTTTTTCAATTAGTTGAAATTTTAAACAGTTTTGTGCAGTTGTTTGATCTTATTATTTGAATTCATTGGCAAAATAAGATAAAAATGCATCTGCCAACTTGCACCATGGCCTGCACTCAACCATTCCCGATTGATATCTTCCACTGAAAGACACTTTAACGCCATATTGTAGTGAAATTAAAATTGTATAAAGGTATAAGTATTTCATTTATTTTTCATGTTATGAATATTTGTGTGACACTACCAATTGTTGTTTAGTTATTGAAAGGTGTTTACTGAACAAAAATAAATTTTGTTTTGAATTCGAATTAATATTTTTATCACTGATTTTTATTGACATCGACACAAATATTCGTTCTTGGTGAAGGCTGCGCCTGCAAACTCACCGGGGAGTTCAGGTCCCACGTATTCCCTGAAAGGACACCTAACCTCCATCAGCTACCTTGCGTTTTCGTCGTGTGGATGGTTTCTGGGCACAGGCTGCAGCCGGGGGTGGCTGAACCTCTGGTCGCCGCAGGTCAGTTACTTCGTGTTCGCCTCCATCTCTCACACACTCGCACGCTAGATCCGAGTTGTGTAAAATTTAGTTTCATTGTATTCTCAAATTGTAATTGAAGTATTTTGTATTTATAACAATCCAGTTTTTTCAGAATTACTCATTTATTTTCTTGTTTTAACAACATTTTGAAGCATCCAAATGATAAAGCCAAAGAATTTTTATATATAAATCGTAGTTAATCCGAAAGAGTTTATTTAAACGACGTTGTAGAGAGGGTATGCGTACGTGGAAACTTATATGGATACAACATCACTTCCACACATCAACACCCAGCATCTTCACTCCTTTGCATCACCAACACACAACATCTTCACTCCTTCACATCACCAACACCCAAAATCTTCACTCCTTCGCATCACCAACAAACAACATCTTCACTCCTTCGCATCACCAACACCCAACATCTTCACTCCTTCGCATCACCAACACACAACTTCTTTACAGAATGGCACACTGCTTCACACCTGGACAGGAAGTGGATCGGTGGCCGGATTGTCTTGGTCACGTGATCAAAAACTCGCTTTCATCTTTTCTAAGTCACCGGTTGTTATTCAATGAAGTTTTGTTGGTTTCATTTATTTAATACTTTCATCAATTTAATGTGTACTTGAAACTTTTTCCAAATGTATGCAATCAATTCAAATTCGACGAAATTCTGTGAAAACGAAACCACGCAATGAAGAACTTGATAGTGGCAGAGGGCATAGATGAGCACGCAGCCAGGAACCTGGTATTTGCCTCCTGCAGGTCTCATCTCAAGGCGAGACACATCAGCGTCGGCTGCAGGCGAACACCGTTCCTCTCAATGCTACTTCGCAGTTTGCCTGATATCTTGCAAAGCCAGTATGCGTACGAAAAGGTGCGTTTCAACTTTTCTGTTATTATTATTATTATTGTTATTATTATTATTGTTGTTATTATTATTGGTAAAAAAGATAATGTGTAACATTCAGTACCTATGCCAAATTCAAAATTACAAACAAACACATCATGCAGAACATAAAAGATTCACATACTTGTACACTAACATAATTATTTAATTAATTAATTAATTAATTAATTAATTAATTAATTAATAGTTCATTTTTCAAAATTACTGATTGAATAAATATTTTAATAAGAAATCAATAGTAATTATACTCGTCAGATCACTACACTCTTCATTTGTTTTTAAAGCCGACGAAATAAACATCCGTTGTGGAAAAATATTTTATATTCACAATTGATCATTTGTTTCTAATACTTTCTGTAACGCTTGTTGAATGGCGGTTTTCAAAATTTGAATTTGTTTTCAAAGAGGTGATAAAAGTTGTTATCAAAAAGTAAAGTTTGTTTTTACGATTTACGCAGAATCACGTGATGTCCGGCAACCAATTGCTTCACAGCAACTACTTGCGCTGCCTTGCAACTTGGGCTGTTGAGATGAAGTTGCTTGAGTTGTTATATTCATCTAGTCATCCTCTTCTCTTCATTGGTTGGTTGGTCGGTTGGTCAATTGGTTGGTCAATTGGTTGGTCGATCGGTTAGTTGGTTGGTCGGTTGGTCAATTGGTTGGTTGGTTGATGGTTGGTTGGTTGGTTGGTTGGTCGGTTAATTGATTGGTTGGTTGGTTGGTTTGTCGGTTGGTTGGTTGGTCGGTTGATTATAAGTTATTCAGTGTTGTTGAAATATCTCAGAAATTCCAACCACATATTTTTTCATATGATAGGCGCGTTGATATTTGAAATCGAACCTGATCAATGTAGCGTGGGACCATGCCTATTTAACTACTAGTACGTAATTTCGCCCTGATATTCGTTGGTTCTGTGAGTAATTGTTAGTTGGTTGTTGGTTGTCTCTCGGTTGGTTGCTTGTTGTCTTTTGGCTGGTTCCTGGTTTTCTCTTGGTTGATTGCTGGTTGCCTCTTGGTTGGTTGCTGGTTGTCTCTTGGTTGGTTGCTGGTTGTCTCTCGGTTGGTTGCGAGTTAACTAATAGTTGGTTGAATGGTTGAGTGTGCGGTTTTTTACGAAATGATGATTGGAAACTATGTTCGTTATCATTAGAAACGTTATCATTGTTCATGATAATTAATGGAATGAAGACAGCGTCGCAATGATTTTGTTTTGTAAGAGAAATTGGATACTGTAAATAAAATGTGTAGAAGAATGTTACGTCAAAGAAAGTGATTCACTGGTTGATTGAATTGTTGAGAGCAAGTTTAAAAGATTATTATGATGAAAAGTAGCTGGGTTTTTTTCTGACATAATGTATCATTTCACAAAAAAAGATGTATCGTTTGTAAGAAAAGATTTTGTTTCAATAAACGCTTATGTTGAAAATTTTTAAAAGTTAGAACTTGTAAAACAAAATGATCTTGAAGACTTTGCTGGGGCCAGGTTTCAATCATTTCTACTTTAGTGCAATCCGCTCATAGTAATGGGGATAAAAAATGTGCAAGATAATCGTCACGGTGATGATGGATGGCGCTGAGGACGATACCTCTGCACAGTGTCACGCAACTCTGGATCATTGCCCGGCTGGTCATAATGCAATGATTTTCACTGCTTCTGTTGGGATACGCTTGTTTGGGATGAATTTGAAAATAACTACAAGCTTTGCTCAGCGTCGTGCTGTTTGCTGGCGATTTTTTCAATGTTTATATATGATTTTTTATCAGATAAAAAAAGACTACTAAAAGTAAGAAGTGAGTGGGAGTGGTTGTTCAACTTGGGGTCCATGCTTGCAGGTGCAAAGTCCCTCATCTGCAGGTCCCTCTTTCCTGGCACCGACAGTATCAACGTTCTTTCAAGGGTAGGTTCTCTTGAGTCTAGCAGTAAGTAGGCCATTGCTCGATGCGCTGGTACATTTGTATTGATTTGAAAACACAGGACAACTCAAAATGGACGAGCGAAATGGATGGTGAGATCATGCAATGGATCGCCTCGAGACCATACGACTGGAAGATGGAGAGCAAGTGTGATGCTTTCATGTGGGGCACGTGCAGGTTCAGCCCCCTCTCCACAGCCTCCACACCTTCACCCCCCGCTTCCATCGAATCACTAGCTAAGGCCGCTCAGGTTTTTTTCTCTTTTTTTCGATTTTCTACTGACTAATATTCCAATTTATAAAATTAGTTCCTCTTTTTACACACAAATAAATTTCGACTTTTTTTTATTGTAAATATGTAAAAATTGCATATGCCGTTATTAAAGTCTATTTGCCTTTAACCACACCAGATAGCTTGTGGTCAGAACTGCACATTCCTCGTGCAAAGCGATGGATTGGTGCTGGCGTCTGGTGAGGGAAGTTATGGCAGACTGGGCCAGGGTAACTCGGATGACCTGCCTGTGCTCACTTTGATTTCAAGTTTACAAGGTCCGAAGTGTAATATATTATATAACGTTTTATCGTTTTATTCGGATGTTATGTGATATTTGTTCTCTTACTTAGGCGTTTTAATGAATGTTTGTTATTGAAGGTTTTAATGTTCAATAATAAATTAAAACTTTTTTCCATAATTTTAAGATTTTTCCAAAAAATTATTTGTTAACAATGAATATTTTTGATGCTCAGGTTATGTCATCACATCTGTGGTCACTTCCGTTGGATCGGATGGTCACTCCATGGCTCTCACTGATACTGGTTAGTATTTTGGTTTCTTCTTTTAAATTAATTAATTTTAATTACATATTTACCATTCGTTTTGGAATTATTAATATATATTAATAGAAATTCGCCGTTCAATCACGAAAACACTTTTAGTATGTTGTATTGGCCGCAATCATCGAGCATGTTAAATAATTTCAAGATTCTTGCAGTTTGTTGTTTGAAAAAATCGCAGCTTGTCAAATAACAGTGCGCACGTGAAGAAACTAGCGGGGCAAATTTAATTAGTTAATAATTAAAGTCTTGCTCGCTGCTTGTGGATAATGAGAATTTTTTTACTTGAAAATTTCAAATGCAGGAGAAGTCTTCTCCTGGGGGGATGGTGATTACGGCAAGTTGGGTCATGGGAACAGCGACAGACAGCGTAGACCGAAATTAATTGAGGCACTCCAGGGAGAAGAAGTCATCCAGGTGCACGTCTCTCTTCTATTTTGCTCTGTTTTCTTCGTGTATGATTATTTATCTGCCACGTTCTGTCGTGTTGTCTGCGTCTGTGGCTGCTGTGTGCTTACTCACGCTGGTTCGCTCACTTTCTACATTTAGTCGAGGCGATAATGTCTTTAACTTGAGTGGTTTTTTTATCACCGAATGTTTTCAAGAAGGTTGATCATGTTGAAATGTTAAGTTGAGAAGTCTTATTTAATGTTCATTAGAGCCATCGTAATCTAATATTCTTATTTTTGATTTAAATGTTTTAATTTTTGCGAAGAAAACTAGTACGTTAACATTCATAGTTTCAAGTGATCTGGAATTTTCTAAGTGAAGACAAAATTTTAGTTTATTCGTCAGCTAATAACAGCCAACCACCAATTGGATCAGGTAAGTGTGGGTTACAAACACAGTGCTGTTGTGACGAGTGATGGCAAGTTGCTAACGTTTGGTAACGGCGATTATGGCAGACTGGGACATGGATCAACGAGCAATAAAAAAATTCCGGAGCGAGTGCAGTTCCTTCAAAATTTTAAGATTTCTCATGTTGGTGACTTGTTTATTTTCTTTTATGTTTATATGTATGTTTATGTTTTATGTATATGTATGTTTGTGTGTGTGCGTGCGTGTGTTACATTTTATACAATTGTTGTATTGTTTTCTCGCTCTTCATTTCCCCCCAATTATCATCCATCGTGCTAGGTTTCATGTGGGCTGAACCACACCTTGTGTGTGTCAACTGAAAGTAATTATGTTTTTGCGTTCGGGGATAACGATCACGGGAAGTTGGGGTTGGGTCACGTGACTAACAAGAGCGTGCCCACCTTGATTGAGGAGATTGTGGGCTGCGGAGTGGTCAAAGTGGCCTGTGGATCGCAGTTCAGCGTGGCACTCACCAAGAATGGAGAAGTCTTAACGTGGGGACAAGGTTTTGTTGCTGATAAAAATTTGTAACGTTTGAAATTGCTAGATTGTCATTGCTAGATAGTTTGCTAAATTGCTAGATAGTTTTTGATTAACGCCTCTTTTGATTGGCTAATATTTTTATTAAGACTCTTTTTGATGTTTGATTTATTTGCGTAGATAAGTTCACGGGCCAGCCAGCAGAAGCAGGTTCAAAGTCGTTATCCTTTTTCCTGAGACCCCAACAACTATGCAATCTGCCCCCAATAAAAGATGTGTCGGTCGGCTCGGAACACACGTTAGCCCTCAGCAGGAGTGGGGTTGTGTTTGGCTGGGGCAACAATTCAGATGGCCAGGTGGGCATCAGCGGCAACTCGCATGTGCTGGAACCCACCATCATTCCTGGCTTGCCAGATGCTCTGCAACAGGTTTGCTCTGTCCGACATATTTTTAATAATTTCGTTTTTGGTGGAGTCATTGTCTTTTTTGCATTTAATTATGAATTACTAAACTGAATTCGAGCCGGCGTTCGACAGGTTCATGACTCATGGTCGACAGAGATTTTTATTATAATCATTGATTAGTATTTGCTACTTTTGGTATTTATTATATTTATCGTTAGCTTAATTTTTATATTTTTATACAAAAAATTCAGTCCAGTTGTTTGAGATTGATTTGGTAGTTTTAGATAATTTTTTTGTTTCTTGTTCTGCGTTAATTAAGCAACAAATGATGGCATTAAATATGCATAATTCAGATTTCGCGACGATAATTTCCATTTAATGATGACTGACTTCTTGCTAATGACGATGATTTCATTTTGATGGTGATTTTGTAAAAATGACGACGAATCAAAAACGTAGATCTCAGCGGGGAGGACGCACTCGTGTGCATGGACTACCCCTGCCGCCCACCAGCACACCTACACTTCCTACAACAAGTTGGAGTCCTTGTGTTATGTCGGCTGTCCATCGCACGTTCCATCCCTCTATGGCTCCATCAAAGATTTGCCCGTTCAAATAGTTTTTGACCGGTTCAAAGTCATCAATTTTTTCTCAAATCTTGTGTCCACTTCCTGGAGATTTCTCAATCTCTCCTTCAATCAGGTTTCATTCAGATATACTCTTCTCATAATTTTTTGCTCGTCGCCGCTTACATATTGTTTCACGCTCAAAGAAAGTATTGCATAAGGATTGATATACTTTTTGTAAAAAAGTAACCGAGATGATTCTTGTGCTTGTGCATACGAAGGAGCTTCAGTGAAAAAGATTAAGCCAAAATATTGACGGATAAGCTGTAGTTAGTGCTCAAAATCATTAGTTAGCACTAGTTGTTAAAAGCGGTTAAATGTTCAGTAAGATGGCAACATTTTTAATTAGTTATTACTTTTCAGAAGTATATCGAAAAAGTTTCCGTACCAGTAACAATGCAATTTTTTAAATCCATTTTACCTTCATAATAGTTGTGGATAAATAAACTTATATTTTGAAACTGACAACCTGCAACAGTGTTTATATTAAAATTGCAAAAAACTTTTTTTGCAAACTCTGTAATTGATAATAACCACCTGTTGTGAAGCTCCCGCTGATATCAATCAATGTCATACAAATTACAACCTGAAGCGTCTGCTGCATCTTGGATGTGAACCCAACTGCATGCTCCACTCTTCGATTCGCAAGCTGCTGATGCCTCGTGTTCACATCAAACCCTTGCACAGAAACCTGGGCAGGACCATGGTTCAAGGAAAAAATTTCGGACCTATCATAACTGTTAAGAGAATTTCAACAAAGTTAGTATGCTGGCCTTCTTTCTACTGCTCTGATCTGAGATTTTGTGCGTGCATCTGTACTGGCAATATTTTGTCTTATTTCGGTGTATCTGTACTGGCACCATTTTAATACAGAATGTGTTTTTTACTACCACGTCCTTGTTCTTAACTACCGCCATATCATTACCAACAGAAATGTTTTTTATTAAATTTATTTTGATATTTCCTTAAATGGGGCTAACTTTTTACACTCTTTGCAAGGGGAAAGACGAACAGGATGATTTATAAGCAAGTCAGCCAACAGGTTTTACTTTTAAACCCCGCTGATTTGAGGCTGCCAGCTCGCGCCTGGAAGGTGCAGTTAATTGGAGAGGGTGCAGATGATGCGGGTGGGGTTTTTGACGACACCATCACACAAATTTGTGAGGTTTGTTTCACGTGAGATTCGCTTTGCGAGATAGAAAATATATGTATCATTCGTTCTCTGTCAATCTGAAACACGGTCCATGCCCGACCATCTCCATTTTTTTTAATTTTAACAGTAACCACCTTAATGAGTTTCAATTAGTTTTCAAGTTATGAAGATTTTTGTGACAGCACTCTCAAATGTTTGAGCGATTTTTTTCAAAATTTGTTGCCAATGTAGAACGCTATATCTCTTGAACTAGCCGACATATCTTGATGAAGTTTTCTCTGATATCAATAAAACAATTTTGTAATAAAACAAATAAAAACCATTGCCTCGAATCTAAAAATATTTTGTTAAAAAATCTTGAAAAAGTTGAATTTTTTGGAAAATTCCACCGATTTCAAAGCAGTGTAGCTCAAAATCTATAGCAAAATGTTTTTTGTTATTTTAAAATTACTTCATAAAAATCGGAGATGGTCCAGCTTGAACTTTTTTAAAATCGTTCAAGTTGACAGAATCCATATTTATTTAAACATACGTATGCACATTATTCATCCTAGCACGATGTTTTGTCAACTGTTAATGAAACACTTTTATATCGTGTTGTTAGAATGGTTATATTGATTTTTCTTTGTTGTGTAGTTCTGACGAGCTGCTGTTTACATATCGTTCCACGCTTACTTCTATGCAATCGTCTTAATGCCGCTAAAACCGAACATCTGTATTACACGAGGATGTACATTTATATTTTTGAATTTCGAACAATTAGTGTTAGAACCAGGTCGCTGCGCAATAAGAGCGACTCAAGACATGGCACTTATCGCCTGAGCTAACTCGCCATCATAATAACTTGATAACATTTTTGTTAACTACATTTTGAAACTAATAATGATGATTTTCAGCTGTTCTCAATTTTTCTGATCTAGCATATTTGGTATTAAAACTAACACAAGACAACTGAAACATTTGTTTCAGGAGTTGAAGAGTGGAGTCGTTCCTCTTCTCATTCCAACGCCAAACTCAAAAAGCGACGAAGGCTACAACAAAGACAAGTATGTATGTATGTATGTATGTGTGTGTGTGTGTGTGTGTGTGTGTGTGTGCGTGTGTGTATGTGTGTATGTATGTATGTATGTATGTATGTATGTATGTATGTATGTATGTATGTATGTATGTATGTATGTATGTATGTATGTTAAAACCAAAACATGATGAGTGACACTGAACCGTCAAACATCAAGTAACAAATGGATTAACACTTTGATTTGTCGTTAATTGCACATGTCGGCATTCAGTTGGATATTTTCAAGCACACAGACAAGCAGGAACCGCTGCAACAAGCACGAAATGTGGTTAGTTGCGAAAAACAGTTCCCTGCTGTCGCTTGATCTGACGCTGATCATTTTGCATATTTCCTTAAGAAATTTAAGGGTGTTGGGGTCCATCGGGCCAGAAACCTCGATGCATATTGGCAAGAATTCCATCGAGGGGAGGGCGTTCCCATATTTTTTCATTTTCTCGTCCGCTGCCCTGGCCGCGGTCAAACCGCATTCTTTACTTGTCAGGTTTACGTATCGTTCGGCGAGGGTGCCAGGGACCGTAACATCCCACGCCAAACATCTGCCGGCTCTCCAAGGTATTAGCGTGCATCCGTCCGGGCGCCTACCATCATGCGCAGAAATGCCGGATGGTTCCTTGAGAACCGGGATTGAAGCCTTGGAGAAGAGCCGACAAATGTAATCGTTTAGCGCTGAGTGACGTAGTTGACGGCCCCCACCCAGGCGACAAACCAAACCGTGGTGCCCAAACTCGTCCGCCCCAGCGCCACATCGGCACGTGTATGTATGTATGTATGTATGTATGTATGTATGTATGTATGTATGTATGTATGTATGTATGTATGTATGTATGTATGTATGCATGTATGTATGTATGTATGTATGTAAACAAAAAAAATGGCGTCCAGGTCACTTGTGATAAATGAGTTCCTGTATTATTTAGAAAATAATTGGAATTTAATTGAGAATGAAACGTTTATTAATAATATATCTGTATTTTATATTCATGAGGATATTGTAAATGCAATTAAATTGCTAAAAAGTGAATTAAATAATTTTAAAAATGAAAAAAGTGAAAAATTGCAGTCGCGGGGTAACATGAAAATTGAGAAAATATTGGAATGTATATCGTTAATTAAACAGTTGAAAGAAAACAAATGTTGGGACAAATGTCCATTATTTGTTAGTTGTAATTTAAATAAAGTCCCAAAGTCTGAAAATTTGTTAACATTGAACTTTGAAACTATCAAACTAGAATTAAAAGATATATTGCACAAACAACAGGTGCAATTTAACAAAGTTATTGAAACTGTTGAAAGTAATAAAGCTGATATTATTTCATTAAAAAACGTTATTAAAACTGCTGATATTAATAAACCAGAAGTAAATACATTGAAAAATAAATTAAATTCTAATGTTGTAAGTGACTACAATACTGAAATGATAAACAAGGAAGGACAAAAGAAAAATGTCAGTAGTTCTCTGTGGTCAGACATAGCAAAGTCAGAAGACAACGGTACCCCGTTCTCAACTGTAAACGGAAAAAAATCACGTCAAAATAACAACAATTGTGAGAAACAAAACAACTCAGGAGAAACCAGCAACAACCCAACAAACAACAAACAAACAGGAGAAACCAACAACAACCCAACAAACAACAAACAAACTGGAAAAAAGACAGCTATGAAAATAATCGGTAAAAAAGTTTCAAATGATTGCAAACTGAAGGCAGATAAAATCTTAATGAAAAAATCTGTGTTCTGTTTAAGCAATGTCAGCAAGTGCCACAGAAATGATGTGATGGCCTACCTAACCGACAATGGTATCCATGTTGTTTCCTGTTATCCCATACTCAAACAACTTAATAAAATGGCACCAGCTTCTACAGCCGACGTCAATAACAATAATAATAGTCAAACTGAGAATAAAAAAACAGATGAAGAAGAATCCAGTACGTTTAGAGTTTGCATCGATAGCTCTGATTCTAAGAAAATGAAAGACCCTGACATAATGCCCCAGCACATTATAGTACGCGAGTGGCAATTCAATAAGAAACCAGAAGCAATTGTCGATCAAACAAAAAAAGGTGGATAAACAACATGTTGATAATGATGAGGACAGCAGTGATGATGAAGAAAAAGACAATTTAAACCCCAAGCAAACTACATGTAAAAGGTATGACAATTTTAAGACGTTGAATGATGAATATAAATTAATAAATAAAGATCTTGATAGCAGTATGTTTTTCAACTTAATGCATTTGAACATAAGAAGTTTGGTCAACAAAACCGATGAATTAGAAAGCTATTTGTCAAACAGTCACATCAAATTTTATGTAGTTGCGATAACAGAAAGCTGGTTAAACGAACGTACTGAAAGTTTGGTTGGCATGGATGAATATAGATATGTAGACAAAAATCGTCATGACAAACACGGTGGAGTGGTTGGTTTCTATGTCTGTAATGATTCTACCTTTCGAATAAGAGATGATTTAAATACCATTGGCTCGCCAAAGTTTGAAATGTTTGCAATAGAGATCATTAACAATTTTAAATCTAAAAATTCAATTGTGATGGTTAGTTATCGACCTCCAATATACGAAATTAAAAAATATTTTAAAGAATTAGAACAAGTTTTACAAATAACTAGTAATGAAAATAAATTTGTTTATCTTTTGGGAGATCTAAATATTGACTTATCACCAGAAGTTAGCAGTATAAATAAAATTCAATTGAACCAACTTGTGACATGTTACAACCTCAAATCCATGATCACAGTTCCTACAAGAATCAGTAATACAAAAAATCCACTATAGACATTTTGTTTACAAATCATCCAGAAAATATTATACAATTTGGTACCATTTTATGCGACCTATCAGACCACATCCCACTTTTTGCTTGCACTAATCAAAAAATAAATAATAAGACAGTTGCTGACGTTACATTTTCAAAATATTCTTATTCAACACACAGAATAAATAATTTAAATGAAGGTTTATGTAATGCCGATTGGACAAGTGTGCTGAGCTGCGATGATGTAGATGTGGCCTTCCAAAATTTCATCGACATCTTTCGGTTACATTATAAAACTTATTGTTCAGTGACCTCTAAAAGACAGGCTCAGAAGATGACAAAAGACAAACCGTGGATAACTAAAGAATTTAAACAAATGTTAAAAAGGAAGAAAATGTTATATAAAAAATATCTAAAGCACACATCGTCAGATAACTCTACAGCACTCAAATCATGCAGCAAATTATGCAACAAGATCAAGTGCCAGTTGAAAAGACAATATTATTTTAATCTTCTACAACAAAGCAATGGCGACAGCAAGAAAACATGGTCAATCATCAATTCTTTAACGAAACGAAATAACAAAAAAACATCAACAATTCAATTAACTTTAAATGATGATCCAATTGATAATCCTGAAACTATTCTCAATAATTATTTCATCAATCTGGTCTCAGATATGCAGCAATCATTTGTAGAAGACACAAGATGGAAAAATTATCTTTAAAATGGGTCAGTAAATTCATTTTTTTGTAACCGTGTTTCATCATCTGAAATCATTTCAACCACAAAACTCTTCAAACCCAAGACTTCGAGTGGTTACGATGAAATATCAACAAAAATAGTAATATCAACAATTAAATCAACAGCAACAATTTTTGAATATTTAATCAACTTATCATTTGACAAGGGCATCTTTCCTAAGTGCTTCAAGACATCCAAAGTTGTTCCAATTGCAAAAGAAAGAGGTAACTCAGAGGTTAAAAACTTTCGACCTATATCTTTGTTGCCTGTTTTTTCGAAGATTATTGAAAAATTGATGCACAGTCGTTTGCTCAAATTTTTTGAAAAAAATAACATTCTTTCTAATCATCAGTTTGGTATTCGAACAAACCACCCAACTGAAATGGCAATACTGGAACTGATTCAAAAAATTGTAGTCGCAAGTGAAAAGAAAAATTATGTAATTGGAATATGTCTCGATCTGTCAAAAGCTTTTGATTGTATTGACCATTCGATTTTATTACACAAACTTCATCACTATGGTATAAGAGACTCCAGTTTGACTTGGTTTCGTAGCTACCTTTCATCAAGATATCAATTCGTTACTTGGAACAATAAAAAATCAAGTAAATTGATCAACAAAATAGGCGTTCCGCAGGGCAGCATTTTGGGACCATTGTTATTCATAGTGTTTGTGAACGATCTACCGATGGCCTCGAAATTTTTTAATTATGTTTGTTTTGCTGACGATACAAATGTGTTCAGCAAAGGAAAAGATATTAACATGCTCATCAAATATACAGAAGAAGAAATTAAACATGTTAATTCTTGGTTCTCACTAAATAAACTTACTTTAAATAGTTCTAAAACGCTAATGATAATCTTTGGACCAACTCAATATTTAAACTACAAAGAACCTTATAAAATTAAATAAATAATATCGATATCTACGAAAATAAAACAGTTAAATTTCTGGGCGTTCATCTAGATCAAAAGTTAGCGTTCCGTGATCACGTTAATAGTGTTGCAAACAAACTTGCCAAATCAACTGGTCTGATGAACAAGGTGAAATTCTACCTCACAAAAAAGTGTCTGAATTTGTTGTATCACTCACTTTTCATGCCACACTTGATTTATTGCAACATTGTCTGGACTGGCACGTCTCCTTCAGTCACGGATCCAGTCAAACTTATGATGAAAAGGGCCGACAGAACCATCACCATGTCAACGATGAGGTCTCATACCAAAGAGTTATTTACGACAACCAATAATCTTAATTTTAATCAATTGAATATTTATCGTACTTTGATTTTTGTGTATAAGCAGCTTAATAATCAATTGCCTAATACGTTTGCTAATTATTTTAAACATGCTAACAGTCATAGGATGTCTAATTATTTGCAATCGAATAAATCAAAAACTAACATTTTACATTCGCATGTAATCTGTAAGGGTCCTAGGACCCTTACAGATTACATGAATTTTTATTAAGAATAGTTTTCAATATAAGGCGAAATCGGCTACTGATTTTAAAAAAAGTTAAATCGTTTTTAATAATTAACAATTATTAAAATTATTAATCTTATTAATAATATAGAGATGTTTGTAAAATCACTGAACATTTAATAAATTATATAAGAAATGTATTTACTTCATGAAATTTATGTTCTCTATCTATAAACAATTTCTGTTGATATTTTTAATGCGATTATAATTATCTATGAAACATTATTTTTTAGTTAACTACCTTTTGTTTTATTATCTGTTATTAACATACTAACAACTAGCAATATTTGATATTAACCTACTAACAACTAACATACTAACAACAAACAATATTTGATATTAACCACAAAACTCTGAACATATTTGTCTAGGTGGCTGTGCTAGATGAGCCCATTATGGGCTCGATCACATTCATCCTGTCTCTTATTTATTATCTTTAATTTTGAGGAGCAAATAAAATTTCGTTTCATTTCATTTCGTTTCGTATGTATGTATGTATGTATGTATGTATGTATGTATGTATGTATGTATGTATGTATGTATGTATGTATGTATGTATGTATGTATGTATGTATGTATGTATGTATGTATGTATGTATGTATGTATGTATGTATGTATGGATGTATGTATGTATGTATGTATGTATTTATTTATTTATATTGTACATAAACGATCTTCCAGCTGCATCAGCGTTTTTTGACTACGTAATTTATGCTGATGACACGAATGTTTTTAGCAGCGACAGATCAATGAAAGAACTTATTGAGGAAACAAACAGAGAGTTAAAAAACATAATCTCTTGGTTCGAAGCCAATAAACTTTCAATTAACAGTTCAAAAAGCCAAATGATGGTTTTTGGACCCGTACAATATCTAAATTACAAGGAGCCGTATAAAATCATCCTAGGTAACAACACAATTGTTGAAACAAAGTGTTTAAAACTTCTAGGCATGCAGCTCGATCAGAAACTCTCCTTCAAACATCACATAAAACAAGTATCATCCAAACTTTCAAAGTCAATAGGAATGATAAACAGAGTAAAATCATTTTTGCCAAAAAACTGTTTGAATCTTCTGTATAATTCCCTGTGCATTCCGTTAATAAACTACTGCAACATTGTATGGGCTTCATCGTACCACACATCAACCTTACCAATAGAAATATTAATCAAAAGAGCAGTTAGATTGATAACGAGATCCAAACGATTTGAACACAGCCAACCACTGTTCAACAGCACGCGAAACTTGAATTTCTCGAAACTCAGCATTTACTTTCTGATGATTTTTGTTTATAAACAGTTAACCAATCGATTACCTGATTTATTTAACAGTTATTTCAAGATGAAACAACAATGTCGGCAACAAAATAATCTTGTCTCTAACAAATCGAAAACGAATATTTTGTTTTCTCACGTGTATTGCAAGGGACCGAGAATCTGGAACGAAATTTTAAACAGTGGATTTAATTTTGAATTTATTTCGTTAAACAATTTTAAAAAAAAGTTAAAAGAATATTTACTTAAGTTTAAAACATAAATTTTTTGTTTCTGAAATTACGTTTAAATTCTGTTGAAAATTTATAACATTTTAAAAATTATGTCAAGGTGGTCACACTCGATGAGTTTCTGAAAAGAACTCTACTGTGGTCATCCTGTCTTCGTAGGTCCTTGATATAAAGGGGAGAGAATTCTTTTTTTTCTCTTTTTTTTAGATTAATTTTGAGAAGCAAATAAAAATTCGTTTCGTTTCGTTTCGTTTCATTCGTTTCGTATGTATGTATGTATGTATGTATGTATGTATGTATGTATGTATGTATGTATGTATGTATGTATGTATGTATGTATGGTTCATCATTTGCTTTCGTCGTTACTTGCATTTTTAGTACTAATTAACGATAGATGAGATACATGTCTTGCTTTTTTTCTCTAACAAACGTTATCTGGGATATTACTATTCTGATTTTAAAACGACAAAATCTTGAACGATCAAACTGCTTATCTAGGATAGGATAACTCGAATCAAACCAAAATGAATTTGACTATTATATTGATAAATCTGATGTTTTGGTAAAATCAAAAGTACGTTTCAAAAAGGCACAATTGTGCAAAATATATCATGACAATAAATACCAACATTGGCGTATAACATCACCAGATATTTGTTGAACCCTTCGTTGACCTCCGTGGACTGGCTCTCTCAATATAAATTTCTGGGAATCCTTATTGGAGTGGCCATTAGAACGAAGAAGCCCCTTGATCTTCCACTTGCACCTATCGTGTGGAAGGCGCTGTGTGGCTTGCCGCTGACTGCTCAAGATATTGAAGAGGTGTGTAAAGCATATTTGTTTCGTGATTAAACAACTTTTTGACAGAGTATATAATAATGGAGCTACATTTTTATATTTCTTCTCAATTATTCGTTTGTTTCGTATATTTTTATGAAAAATCTTAATGTTTTGTTAAAAAATTTAGCGAAGTAAACAAGTGCTTATTTAAGTAGGTATGTGCAGTCGCCTGTCTTTTTAATAATAATGTAATAAAACACTTTTAAACAATTTTTTTTCTTTTTCAACAATAAAATCTGGAGAAACTGTTTCGTCTGTTCAAACTATCCTCAAACTTTATTGTTGATTACTATTAAATTTTAACATGGTTAATAGTCACTTTCTGGCTTTGGTTTAAGTAATAAATCAAATTGAGCTTACAGCAAAAGACGGCTATCATCATAGCATAATATAATTAATATTAAATGTGAACTTTAATGAGCGAAAACTAGGTCCACGTCGATAATAAACTTTTCAATACCATCAGAGGTTTCAGTTTGCAATAAAATGAAATGAAATTAATTTTATTTGCCTCTTAAAATTAACGGAAAGTTAATTATAAGCTAGATGACCAAATTAGAATTCTAAAATAAATTTATCGCACACGACCACTTAGACATTTTTCAATAAATTTTCGTTTTTAACGAAAAGGTTCTGAAATAAAGAATTAGAGTTCCATGAATAATCTATTGTTGTCAGTTGTTAGCGTTAAATAAACTTAACTATTTTAGTTAAACAAGTTCCATAAACTATTTGCTGAAATTAACAAGAAATAAATATTTACATGAAATAAAGAATAAAGTGTCATAGACTTTGTGATGAATGGTTTCAGTTTTTAAAACCATGAAACGATGTGTTTAACCATAATGTTTGTATTTGTAATCAATTCGTTAATATCTTCCTTTGGAAATAATGTTAACATCATTTGCATCATAAATATATTTGAAGAATAAATGAAAGAATAATTTTCAGAATTAAGCCGACTTCTAGGGCTAAGAATTTTTGAATGTAAAATTTTTCGGATGATTTCACAAAGTTTTGCAGAATACTACCAGAACTAAACAAAAATTACGAAATCTTCTTTAAACATTAGAAGAAAATTGAGCAACTGACTTTTGTATTTTATTGGGACAACTGGTGAGATAAAGTTATTTCATCGTCCATCTTTTGAAAAAACGCTCAAAATTAAAATTTTCTCGCTTTTGAGTGGTTATTATTTTTTAAATGTCCACTTGTTCAGTCTTTGTTTTGTCCGTTAAACAAAGAACTACTTAAATTGATTAAAATATTTCAAGTGTTCTGTTTACTTTATTCACCAAAGGAATTGTATCACCATGTTTAGGTTGATGTATACTTCGTGCAAGGGTTGAAGTTCATTAACGACTTTGAGGAAAAGGATATCAGCCAAGAAGCATTTGTTACCGTATGTACGATGCATTTGTATATTTTGTAAATTGTATTTAATTATTAAACTTGAAACGTTTATTAATGAATCTATTTTTGCAATTGTAGATACTTTTCTTTTCTAGCTATTCTATTCTTTTTAAACAATTAGGTTTTAACGGCCTGTTAAAAGGTAATTGTTTAAAAAGTCATTGTCTTAACTCAGGCAGATACAAAATCAAGCATAAGCTTTAGAATTAGTTACGCATTTCATTACATAGAAAAGTCAATTACACGAGGAAATAAAATTCGCGATAACATTATTGCAAATGATGGATCCCGGTAGGAGATTGTTCTTGTTACAACAGGATTCGCGCAAGTTTCGCCTAACTTTCAACTAGACTATACGTTCTTTTTGATTTTTTTCAGGAGCTCAATATCTGTTTTGGCTGTGTACACTTGCATATTCAGAGCGTAACTTACGCACGAGTCACATAGAGCCCATAGTTTTAATTCTTATTCTGCAGGCTTTGATAGGAAATACTGATATTAATAATAGAAACAACAGAATATTACTAGATTTATCAAACTCATTTATCAAATTCCTTCAGTTTTAAAGTGAAGAATAGTCAAGGTCGAAGAAGAAATTGAAACGTTCAGCTAGGCTGTATAAAATGTTTTTTTTATAATAGTCACGAGTCACATAGAGCCCATAGTTTTAATTCTTATTCTGCAGGCTTTGATAGGAAATACTGATATTAATAATAGAAACAACAGAATATTACTAGATTTATCAAACTCATTTATCAAATTCCTTCAGTTTTAAAGTGAAGGATAGTCAAGGTCGAAGAAGAAATTGAAACGTTCAGCTAGGCTGTATAAAATGTTTTTTTATAATAAAAATTTAAACGCATTGAACAGAGCGCAAAAAGATCCCATACAAAGAAATTATTTATTCCATCAGCATAAAAGTTGTTGTTTGTAAAAAAAATTTGTTACCCATTTTGAAAGACAGTTTTCGTTTGCATAATCTGGCAAATAAAGATTTCAGAAACTTAAATTGATTTGTAAAATATTGCAAACGCCGTTCGTTCACTGCCGTTCAATCAATTTATGAAAATAATTTAATTTGTTACTTCTGAAATGTTAATTTATATTTTAACACAATTTATGTGAAACAACCATGCCTTTCATGCAGTATACAGCTCTTGAAACCTTTGTGTGTTTAAATTCACTAAATGAATTTGTACCTGTGGTGCCCGGAGGCCAATCCATAGCACTGACCTACCACAACAAAAAAATCTACACCCAACAAGCTATGCATTTCAGATTGCATGAAATAGATCTGCAGGTGAACAATTTTTTGGCTATTTAAAAGTGATTAAGAATTCAATGTTGGTTTTGATTTGACATCAGGCGGTTTATTATGTACTGTTGGCACATTGCTGTTTGTGAAATGTTATGTAAACAAAGAATTCTTTATTGTTTAAATTGGATCTTTTTGTTATTCTGCTAGTCCATGCTTTTCTTTTTTCAAGTTTTTTCTTTATTTACCTTATGTGAGTTCGTTTGGAGCATCGATTTTGCCGTTATTGTAGACATCACAGTAGCATATCGTATTTGTGCTGCAAATTCATATTGTTTGGCGCTTATTTGTCGCTTTTTCACATTGAATTTCACGAAATTGAACGACGAACAAACAGGTACGTGCAGTGAGGGATGGCATATCGTCAATTGTGGCACTGCCTCTTCTCTCTTTATTGACGCCAGAAAATCTGGAACAGCTAGTATGCGGAATGACGCACGTACCTGTTGAACTCCTCAAAAAGATCGCGAGGTTGTTATGTTTTCGTATAATTAAATTTAATCATTATACTTGTTACGAATCAATATTTTTCATTTTCAAAATCTTAATTTAGTTTTATCGTCTTCTTTTCTAATAGATGATAACATGTTGCTTAAATTTCGACAATGCATAAGTCAATACATTCCGTTAAATCATGAGTTTCAACCCAAATGTCCGATGAGTGACCCTCGAATTTTAAGTCTGACTGGCCTTTTTATCACAAAATTTTTCTGGAGTCACTGCCATATTCTAACGAGCCACGACCAATTCTTTCTTTTTTGAATATTCAATAAATCTAAAAAGTTTCAGTATAGATCTATTAAGTTTAGATTTCAAGATTCGCGCACTCGAATTTCAACATTTTGCTCATTTTTCATTTTCAAATCCTGATTCAAACTGTTGGGATGAAGTTAACGCGAAATTGTAAACTGTTTAGGGGCTTATTATTATTTTAATTTTTTTCATTTCCAATTTAGATACAGAGACATAGACGAAAATAGTAACTTGGTTCTCTGGTTTTGGGAAACCTTAGAGGAGTTCAGTGAAGAAGAGAAAGTGTTATTTATGAGATTTGTCTCGGGAAGGAGCAGGCTCCCTACAAACCCAGCCGACATCAGTCAGCGATTTCAAATCCTCAAATCTGAAAGAGTTAGTTTTCAATTATTCTTTAGCTTGAAAAATTGTGCCGTTTATTTCTTTAGTTTTGATTTTCCGTCCTAGTTAAATTATTCCAATTCATTCAAGCAAAACATTTCAATAAAACAATTCAACTTAAAGACTACCATTCTTAATTAACATTGTTTTAACGCAGTCCAGTGACAGCTTGCCAACAGCTCAGACATGCTTTTTCCAGTTGAAACTTCCATTTTACACAAGCAAAACAATGCTCCAAGAAAAGTTGAGGTATGCCATCAACAATTGTAAATCTATCGATACAGACAACTACATGTTGGCAAGAAATACTGCAGATAACAATCTCATGTCGGATGATGAAAGTTAAACATCTACCACAATTTCTAACGAAAAATAATTCATTCTCAATGAGTTCTTGCTCGTGAGTATTTATAGAGAATTGATTAACTTAATAAGTAATCCTTACTTTTTTTTATATGAAAAAGCATTGTCCACGTTTTACGTAATATCTATACAAGGTTGAATCAGTTTATTTTAAATACTTATTTGAAACGAATCAACTCGTGTATATGTTGGAGTCAAATTGTACAGGTAAAATCACTTTGTGGACCAATTATTGAAATTATCAAAATAAGCTTGTGGAAATTTTTTAAATAACATTTTTTTAAATAACATTTTTACGTGGTTTGCTTCTAGTCAAAATAAATTGTATAAACATTTGTTAGAATCCGTTCTCGAATCTATAAATTATGAAATTTTACCGAGAAAAATCAGAAAGTGGCAATACATCACCAGTACCGAATTTATTGACGCACAAGTCGTCAGGTTGCTCAAGTCACTTCCTAAAAATTCTATTTTAGTGCTTTCGATTTGGAACGCCGTAACAGCCCGCATATAATATAATTGAAACTGTTTCGTAAATTTTGCTTCAAGGCAGTTTTTAGCTGACTGATGAACCCAAGTTACTGTTTGAATTGTAATGGCTGTGTTTGCACGGTCTAACTCAAAAGCGCTATTAGTTAGCAAACCGCTGAGACCTCACTAGACGGTAAAGTTTATATTATAACAAGTTCATACCAAAACAAAATCTTATATTTAAGTCAACAATTTTGTATGCATACATGCGTATTACTATATTTTTTAAACAACAAAGCACGTGTGTATATACTGTTTGTAAGCGTGCGTGTATATAAATATATAATAAAAAACAACATTGTCAGTTCATCATTTCCTCGTCAGAGACAACGACATAGCAGCAGCACACGGCAGGTTGTAACATCAAGCATGGTACGTAGGAGCCATGTTGGAGAGGTGAGCCTCCTGTACTTCCCTCACCACTCTCAGTCTGTTGAACATCTTGCTGATGTTTTCTATGTTTTGAGGTTGTGTCGAGTACCAAACGGGACTGTCCGGTACGCAGGATCGCTCCGGTGTTAAATAAAACAAATCAGTCCTGTTCTTAATGCTGTCTGGGCTGGTTGTGTGAAAAATTTAAAAAAAAACATATAATTATTTGGCTTCAATAGTTAATTCGTGAAGTAGTAAATCATATATATATATATATATATATATATAGAGTACTGTATGAATTCTACCAAAATGTTGGTATTGACCAATTTAAAATTTGTCTTTTAAAATTTTTCTTACTAGAATTGGCTTGAAAGTGTTCAATTTAATGAAAATAGAATTATTATCCACATTTATCCTGCAGAATAGCCTATTCCAATTTTTCACAAACCATCTTCAGTGCTTCTTAGACGAAGGAAAGGTAGTTAATTAATAATTAGTGCCATTTTATTTATCTTTGTTGCTGTCAGTTTCTTGTTTCCATTGCTTTTACAGTTAGCACTAAAGTGTCGAGTTGGTAATGATGTAATCATTCTTTGTTTTATATTTATTTGCGGTTTATTGATATCTATTAGGATATTTAGCAAAACATCAACACGATACACCTAAAAATTTCAGGAGCTAAATAAGTAGGATCACAAGGATTAATAAGGAGAATAACTGTCCCGAATTCATATAAAACATTGCAGTCATTATGTGTCGATAATGAAATAAGATGATAATTTTTGGTTTGGCTTGATGACAATCACAGAGTTAGGCGCCTCAGTAGCTTGCATTGAAGCTTTACAAATGACATTATTATTATTATTATCGAAAAAGTTGATAGAATGCTGGCGGAGTCAGGTTCGGTGAAACAGTCACTCAAATTGCTGGAAGAAACAAGAATTGCATCCAGCCTCGACCATGTGTTTAATCTCAAATGCCAAGGTTTGTTAATTAAAGCAATAAATGAGCACATTTCTCCATCACAAACGTCGCGTTGGTCAAAGATCGTCGAAGGATTACCGGGAGTGCTCTATAAGTTTACTAGAAAGTATTTAATACAACAACTTCCCACCGATGCAAATTTATTTAAATGGGGTAAGTCAACAACATTTCTATGTCCACTATGCAATCATCGCCAACCAAACAAACATAAACATATTGTTTCGAACTGTGATTCCACAGCGGCTCTCGCAAGGTACACGGACAGGCATAACAAACTGCTGTCGTTGATTGTCAACTGGTTAAGGATTCGTGCACCATCAGACTGTTACATATTTGCCGATCTTAATGCAGAAAATGTACGTCCAATGTCACAGTTGTTCGACAAGTTGCGGCCGGACATTGCCATTCTCCAAAAAAAAAACAAAATCGAAATTTTAGAGCTCACAATTTGCCACGAAACCAACCTAGCTTCCTCACATGAATACAAACGCCAGATATATAAAAGCTTGAAATTAAACTTAAATTCACCCTACAATAACTGTTCGCCAATTATTAACTCATTTGAAATATCACCTGTGGGTTTTTATAACAATTTTAATCTATCTTTGTTTAAAATTTTATGGCCGAAATCTTTTAATGAAAAATTGATTAACGCAGTAATTAACTCGTCATATAGCATATATTGTGACAGAAACACTACTTAACCGATTTTAAATATATCTTTTACTCTCAAGCACTTGTTGATCAAAGGGCATGAGAGGATCGTACATTATATTTTATATTTTATTTATTTACACTCTAATATATAATTAATAATTTTCGATGGATTCCACTTGGATTTTTTTTGGTAAATAAAAAAATGTTCCCCTTATTATGGCAAGATTGTACATTCAAGAGACTAACTAACCATTTGGAAATGTAGAACTCGTATAGTTTAACCGGGCACCTCAGAGGATTCTCTGCATTCTCAGCTTGTTCTAAATATGCGGCATCTTCTTTCACTTTTTTCTTGTCAACTGACCCTACAGCTGATCCTGTCGTATTAACAAATATAACAAAGATATGAAATTATATAGCAAATAACAAAATCAATTTTGTTTTATTCAGCAATGATGCGATATTCATTATGTTTGCTATATTAGATGATGATGACAGTGTTGTCATCATAATTTGCATATCAAATACGGATCAATATAATTTTTGAACAGTTCAAACAACCTATTCTTAATTCCGTTCAGTTTTATGGACGGCGTAATGGTCTAATGGTTAAAAGCTCTGGTCCTGTTTGGCAGTGAATGGGTTCGATTCCTAGGATATCACATGCAATGGTCGTCGTATGTGTGGTTCCACGCGCATTACGTACGTTTATTATTGTTGACACATTTGAGAAATGAAAGAGTAAATGACCTTTTAACCATTTTTTATATTTCTATACAACATCATCAAAGATACTATCCGTACAGAGAAAGGCAGATGTTTTAGCAAATGCAAATATAATGTTTATTTTTTTTAATAGCGATTATTTCACGGTACACTGTCCTTGCAATATAACTTCCATATTGGTTTGATATCTATATACAGAAATAACAGTTGCTATGCATAAGGTGTGTATTAATTGAAAACAAAGACTACCACTCATAGAGGCCACGGCATGAGACGGATTCATGTAATACCGCAGATAGACACTTTTGCCCTGCCTGCCATTTGATGTAGTTGATCTCTTCCAGTGTTTCACGATGTTTGAAAAAGAAAGGTTGACGTGCTCTTGCGGTGTCTTGAGGAGGAAATATTTAGAATTGAAGTAGAGTAATGTGTTGAGCAGGACGTGTGGCGAGTGAGCTCCCAGCTGCTTTGATTCCCATAAATGTTCCTCTTCGATCCGGCACACCAGCATACCTGCATAACGACAAATAAAAGTTCGCTAGATGGCACGCCCAAACATGCAAACACGCTGGGTCTTCAATCAAATTTCTCCACTTTTAAAACATGTTCAAGTTTTTTCATGCATTTATTAAATTTTCAACTTTCACTTTATGTTTAGCCAACTTTTTCTATACAACACCAAGACAGATGCTTGCACCACAATCAACGTGGAGTTTAGGTTTAATTAATTGATTATTTAATTAATTACATGCGTAACCACAACCAAAAACGTTAGATTACTCAAGCAAAACCAGGAAAATAAAAATCAATTACACAACTCATGATTAATTTATTTTTTAAGAAAAAACATCATGAAAAAAGCATATAAATTAAACCTTGAGCATTGAGTCTGACTTCATAATGAGATAGTATCTCATTCAGATTCTCATTAAATTTGTCGTAAAAGTAGTCAGTAAATATATTGTCTATCCGACCATTTTCATACATGTACTCTTGAATGCCTGTAAACATAATATTCCAAATGTAAAGTTTGGAAAAAAAGAGTTATTAGAAGGATAAGTTTAAAAAGTCCGTGCTAGTAGATAGTGAAAATGAAGCAAGCAAAACCAAAAAAAAAGAAGAAACAAAAAAAATACTAACCCAAGCAGAGATACAAAATGCTATCTGGTGCATAATCTTCTCCATTTGGTTTTCTGACCTCCTTTACGAACATGCTCAACGCCTGGTTCAACTCGACGGAGGGAGCATGCAGCAGGTCTAATTTAAAAAATCTTGGTCCCCTTGTAAGCGCCACCGAAGGATGCAGCCTCTTGTACTGCTGGTAGGATGCTTCTATTTGTGCATTTTTCTGACCGACCCAGTGCTTGTAAGCATTCACGCCGTATGAGAACTTCAAAACATAAGAAGCATCAGATATAGGTTCCACTTGTTGCTGCTGTTGTTGCTTAAGAGATTGTTGTTGGTAGCTATTGACTGATGCATCATCCATTTTATATTTTTTGGCACTGTGCTCCATTGGATTCTTATTGTTGGCCATGCTCATAATCGTATTATTGGCGGTCGTGGCGTTATTGACTGATACCCTACTCTTTTGACCATGACTGGATTTCCTTTTGACGCCCCTGCTTCTAACGTCATTCAACCCTGCATCGGACGTCATGATGCTGTGCTGAATAACATCTGACGTTGTGTCAATCGTGCTGTACGTGTTCATAACTAGTTCATGATCTGTGCAGAGGTTAGTAGGTTAGTATTATTTTTGTTTGCAGATTATTAAGGAAACTTATGAAGATTCATTAACTTAGCCTTATCTTTCAACATCTGACATTTGTCATCAATCTGTACAAATAGCTGCTTCGTACAACGCATCCTACAATTTATCCAATCACAAAATGAATAACTCTCGTTTTAAAAAAATCTATTTACGCTTCAGGGTGTTGTTGGAGGTTCAATTTTGTAATACTATATATATATATATATATTTACATATGGGTATTTATATAGCGTTTTTAAAAATAGAATTTCTCAAAATCGAAAAGACCAGCTGGAAATATCAAGCAATTCCGATTATTTAAATGAAACAAAAAGAGAAAATATCAATTTAAAATCATCTGAAAATAATGATGAAACTAAGTGTTTTGTGAAGGATATTGTATTATGGCCAGAATACTTAACAGCACCATTAATTTCTGAATTTCAGTTAACAGATTATGCTGTTCTCTCATCAGGATCCGCTGTCAAAGGCTGTCGTGGTATTATCCTTTATTATAAAGAGTCATTGCTTGTTACAAAAGTATTTTTGAAAGTGTAAGTTCTATGAACATTTATGTGTTAGAATAATTTCCAAGAAGGCACAATTAATATATTGTCCCTTTATAGGAGCCCGAACAGCAGTTCTGACAAAAAATGCCGCCTCTGGAACATCGGGTATCTCGTGATAGAGTCGATTGGAGACGGTGGATGGGAAACCCTCTGCCCTCTCAATAAACCGTAGCACCTCTCCCTCCCTGCCAAGTCGCCGGGTATCAAATTATTTGCACGGCAGTTTCGCCATAACAGAATTCAAACTCTCTTCACATTACACACATCTCAATATTAATATCATTCTCTAATTAAAATCAACAACCATTTTCTTCCACTCGAACATAATCCAAAGATTTTGGGTTTCACATTTGACACGACGCTGTCACCCTTGCAACATCACAAACTGGTTGCATCCAAGGCCACTAAACCCAACAATATCCTAAAAGCGCTCAGTGGAACCATCTTCGGCCAGGATAAAGAAACCCTGCTGCAAACGTACAAGACCATCGACCGTTCGAAAAGAGTGCCAGCCCCGCTTGATCCCCGCTTGATGCTGCCATACGGGTGATAACCGGTTGCCACAGATGCTTTCCGTAAGACAGCACAAGAATCTCCTCTCATCTCAGGTTTTCCTGCAGTGCCACACCATTAAAAATGAGCAACGATCCTTTCCCAACATGAAGGATACCATCCGCTCAAAATACCAACCGATGGTACAACCGGTGCTCCCACCAATCATCAACAGCGCCTCTCTAAAGACAGCATCAGTTACACTACACAGCAATGCCGCCAAACTCGCCTCCGAATCATATCAGGCCGCAATAAACAAAGCGGAGGAAAAGTTGCCCAAAGCGATAAGAAGAACGTTGGTTCAACTACGCTCAGGTCACTGCAGCCTACTTAACAGCTATAGGATTAGAAACTACACTAGACTTACCAATGAATGCCCTCTCTGCCTCTAGTCTATAACGTCTGTTACCGAAGTAGCAATAATAATGATTTGTTGACAAAGAAATATAAACTGTGTAGTGATTAAAGAATTTGTTACGTAAATTTATTAACTAAACCAGTCATGTTGCAAAGGTAACAGAGCATTTTTGAACATTTTATTGAAGAGCACCGAATGCAATCAAACAGCCAAACTATTATGACAATGGCATCTGAAAATGAAAAGCACAAACTTCTATTTATCTTGTTGGTGACACTCATGTTAGAAGAGCCGACATCCTGCTCCCTTGCCATCTCACTAGCCATCCTCAAAGCAATTGTCAGCATGTCCTCTTCTACTTTAGGGTTTGTTAGAGGTTAGATAAATTTTCATGAATGAGAGAGACATTTAAAAAATATAAGGTTGAAACATTTGTAACCAAGCAGGCAAAAATCAATCAACCATTCTAATAAACTAAATGTGAACAAAATTGAAAAAAAAATAAAAAAACGAAAACAAAAATTCAAGTGTGGTGTTCAATCTAATAGGTAAAAATTTGCAACATTTGCAGGTCAAATGATGATAAAATAAAAATAACATGTCCTAAACAAAATTAGAATGAGTTATTATTAAAAGCTGGGTAAGAAAAACAAATATATTAAATGGACAACGCAGACAGCATGCACGGAGTTTGCAGAAGTATATTCATGCACATTATTATACGTAGATGCTCTAGCTCTACAGTGATGCTAACATGAAGTTAACTCGTAGTTCGTAACTACCTTAACTAATGTTACACATTTTTTAGAGTGGAAAAATATTTTGAAGAAGAAATTACTTGCAATTATAAGTTAGAGTTAAAACAACAAGTCAGCAAGTTGGCTCATTTGGTAGAAGTGCCAGGAGTCACGCTGTTAATATGCGATAGCCTGGTTCGAATACTCTGTCCAAAACACAAGGACTGTCATACGTCAATGGTGCAAGCATACATAATGCATCTGTATGTCATGATGTGTGGATAGTACAGACTATTATGTGGCACAAAACTTTCATTAAAAATATAGAATGATATGTAGGCAGTTCTGTACCTGAGAAAGCTCCGTATATATAAATATTAACTTACCAGCATTGTTGTGAGCAGCACTGACAGTTTCCTCTTCGTCATCCTCCTCATTATCCGATGCCTTGCTGACACCTGCCACTGCCTCTGCCATCATCAGTAGTTCAGCTTGGAAGGGATCCGATGGCAACTTTTCTTGTAAATCCTGAAAAGTCATCATCATTATCAAATTTTGAGTGTGGCATCATTAAAAAGCTTTTAATAAATTAAAAATAAAATCAATAATCATGCATGAAAAAGCATAAGAAATCTCATTAACAGTAGCATTAAATTTTTAGTAAGAACAAAAAGTTAATGAAATGTTCACGACAAAAGCAGAAATCCCTGCTTTGAATGTAATCAACATAAATCAACGGCAACAAACACAAATCACATCCTCATCAGATGCAACATCATCAAAGACCGACCACAGCCACACAAACAGGCACATCACCAGAAGCAGACCCTCAACCGACCTTGATCTTTTTCATGATACCCTGAGCAGAGGCTTTGGTTGTAGGTATGAAACACGGTACAGGGACGGGTACCGGAATGATGACGGGGTATGGCGTGGGCGAGGTGTACATGTTCATCGGGGTTGGCAACATCATCGGCACAGGCACAGGCACGATAATTTTCTTAGGGCACAATTCCCCATCTGTATAATGACGTGACATTCATCAAACAGCTTTAAATATTTTATAAACATTGGCACGTTGGATGAGGTGCAACTTCTCCCACCTGCTAGCAGGAGTGAATGAAAGTTCGGTGTGGCAATTTAATGTGGCACATTAAAAACAGACGCACGCCAAAAACCTGTCTGAGTAGATTTGCTGGCGCAGTGGATCTTGCACTGGGTGAACTTTGTATGAATGATTGGTTTGCAGATTAATGCTTTGTTCTTCACTTCCTTCGGAGGTGGAGGCTTTATGATGACTTTGCAGGCTGAGAGCTGCAAATATTGAATCAACGCCTGGCTGAAGAACTTAATTAAATGTTGCTCTTTATTATTTTCAAAATGTTTTCAAAATTATAACAGTAGCAGAAATGTGATGAATTAATAAGTAGTTATTTTATATGAAGAAAATATGAGATTAAATAAAATTTGAGATGAGGGAATTGGTAAAAAATAACAGGTGTAATAAAACTAATGCACTACTGCAAGCAAAGTTTCTTTAAAACAATCTTTGGTGTTTACCAAATACTCTGAAATTGAAGAAATGAAAGAAATGATTTAAAGAGCTTAGACTAGCAACTCATTCTCCATGTTAAATGGACACCCTTTTTTATCGCATTGATAAATCAGTATCTGTTTTATTAAGCCCCAACTCACCACACCCGCCTTATGCAAAATGGGCAGAGCGAATATCCATACATTACTCAACTACATAATCAACAACTCTCTTAGAGATGGAAGTCTGCTCTTTTAAAAATTTGGAATGTAAAAAATGTATTTGTTAAAAATCTGTATTGCTATACTGTGCAAATTATAGTCTTCACTGATTTCATCCCATCAGAGGCATGAAAATTAACTAAAAGCTTATGAAATCTGTTGTTGAGACATTTCTCATCGGCACAGGATCCACTAAACAAGCAGCGTACCCCAACGGTGCACGAAAAATAAATTTCACAAAACTCCCATAAAATTCTCAAAATTTCATGTGAACCATGAAAATGGGAGGGGACATTTAATGAGAACGATGAAAAATAATTTTTTGGGTCATGTAATCGATATAAAATGAAATGATTGTAAAAGAATAGATAACAATTGCAGGATAGAAAAAAGAACTAACCCCTTCTTCGTTGCTTGCTTCTTCACTGACTGGTAAAATTCATAAATTATAATTACAACAAAAACATTAAAAATTTATGAGCTTAAAAACAGTGATGAACAACAAATTTGTAAACCTCATACAACATCAAAACATCTTTAACAAGTGCAAACAAATAAGATAAGCTCATTATACGGACTCAAGTTCTTGAAGTGAATGTTATTCTGCAGAATATCACTTTCAGGAGCCACACAGTTAGTTGCAGCAGTGGTAGCTGACGATGTACATGATGTCATAGCTGCTAATGATGTGGTCGACGTCTTAGCAGTTGGTAGCGTAAATGATGGTTTAGTTGCCGACGACGTAGATAATATTTTTATTGTTGCTGACTCTGGTCCCTTTGTTTCTACGAACTTGTTCTGGAAAGCCAGGACGCAAGGGTAGCCACAAAAATTCCTGACCGATGCATCACTCATTGACAGATGGTACTGTGCCGGTGCGAATTTCATACAGTAGTCACATGTTACCTGTCGTCGTTACAAACAAATCGGTGCAATATTATGTTTTATTGTATATATATGTAGTTTATTGCTGGTTAGATGTTATATTCTAATGTTAAATCTCATTTGTGTTCTCCATTGAAAGCAACAAACAACAGGAGTAGTTAGGTTAACTCATAAGGAGCATGCATGAAAGAAGGACATTTACTTTAACATTAGAGTTGGCTTGCACATTGACTCTGTACAATGAGAGGCAGTTGAGGCTGCAATAATATTGAACTTTGCTGTTGCTGGCATCTTGTTTTTCAATCATTTCAAAACAACTCTTCCTAATGTTGCACCATGAACATGGAACCAGCTTGTGATGTTTCGCCTGTCGTGATATTGTGTTGCTATGTGCAAAACAATGATGTACAAATGTTTTGTTGGGTTTTAAACCACATTGTGACAAAGCAATTAAATTTTCAGCCAATATCCTTGATGAATTAATTTGGTAGCAAATTAAATCCAAAGAACTTAGATAAATTGTCTTAATGAATAACAAATGACTGACATTCATAACATTAATAATGCAAATAGCAGAGAATAAATGTCAAAATGAAAAATTAGAAATGAAAACTGACCACGAACGTGTTGAGGCAGGTAACACTGCATAGACTATAATCAACACCTTCAAACAACTTGGTCAACTTTTTGTTGTTTGAGTTTAAGGTGCACTTGCACATCTCACATCTCTCTGAAACCCTAAATGCCAGCACACACTTATCACTGCAAAATCGTTTCAAGAGGTTTCCTTTGCCCAATTCAAACTTGCAGATTGTGCTGTTTTGACAGCTGTAGCATTTGGTTAATAAGTTTATGGCGTTGGTCAGCACATCCGAGCTAAGGCTTTTTATCTAGGGTTGAGTTGTATTATATGTTTGGTCTCAATTTTAAGCTCACTGATTGTAGCTAAAAATTAATTTTGTAGTAAGGTGATAAAGAGAATGAATAAAAACTACAAAATTAGTCTTACTACCAACAACTTACTTACCTTATCTTCTTCTTTTTGCTTGTTTATATTAAAATCTTCATACTTGGCGAGACACTTGTGGCTGCAGAAGTCCTTGAGACCTTCATTGGTCACAGGAGCTACGAAAGCACTCCCATCATTTGTCAGGTTCTTGAAACACAATGCACAGGCTTTCGCTGGTCCCTTCTTCTTCTCCAAGCAGGTCTTTTATGTAGTGATTGAAATAATGAAAGAACGCGATGTTTCAAAAAGATGAAAAATCTATAAGGGTCAATTTGAACAATTTTAAATGAAGTTCACGCTCGACCATCTCTGACCTCTTTAAATTTCAACAGTAAGCCTTTTGATCTATTTCACCAACAAGATAAAATTTTTATAAAAATATATTTTTTTCAAGTTATGAAGATTTTTTTTGAGAACCATCCTCCAATTGGTGAGTGATTTTTTCCAAAACATGCACCAACACAGAGCGCATTGTACCTCAAACCAGCCAACATTAAAATTAAATTTTTATGAAATTCTTTCAGCATATGAACGAAACAATGTAATAACGAACAAATACAAATTATTTTCCTGATATTAAACAGATATTTTGAACAAAATTTTGAACAAATTGAGTTTTTTGAAAATTTAAAAAAAATCACTTGCTTGTTTTTGAAGATTTTTTTAAAGAAGAAAGAGACCATTTTCGTTTTTTAATGCTGTTAAGTCATAAAAGTGTAAACAGTAAAAAAAAAAACATTGAACAGAAAAAAAATTTGAAAAATTTTTTGTTTTTCATGATTAAAAATGGCACCAAACAAAATGAGTTTTCCAATTTTTCAGCATTTTAAAAGCCAATGGCTTAAAAAATTGAAAAGAGATTTCAACAAAATTTTGTTCATAAATTAAGACTATCAAGTACTTTAAAAATAAAATGAGACAATTAATTATTTTGGAATAGATTTTCAGCTACAACGTTTGAAAACGTGATACAATTTTTTGTGCAAGATATCTGTCGATCCCAGGAAAATAATTATTTGCTCAATTATAATAAAGTTTCGTTAATATGTTCCAAAAATTTCATTGACGTAAGTTTTCTAGTTTGCGAGATGTATAGCGTTCTACATTGGTATAAAATTTTGGGTAAAAAATAACTCAAAAATTGGAAGGCAGTTTCAACAAATTTCATAACTTGAATATGAATAAAATATTTATATAAACATTTTATTTTGTCAATTAAATACAACAAGGTAACTACTGTTAAAATTAAAAGAAATCGAATATAATTGAGTGCAGACCATGGTTCAAGTTGGCGAGAATAACTCATGATAAAAATGTTCAGCTAATAAAACTTCATAAAACTGTTTCGAACGTCAACGCTCCACCAGCACCAAAACAACAGCAACATAGATTATTTATGATCATCCATGACTACTAACAAGCAGCAAACACACCACCTACCGATGAACAAAATGTTTTGAAATAAGGTCCAACTTTCCACGTGATGCCTTTGCCTGAACCAGGGACAGGTTGCTGACAAGAGTCACATGTCTTTGGTGGGTTTGGATTTCTGGTTGTGGTCGAGCTGGAGGAAGTGGTTGGGGTGGTTGGAGTGGCGGTAGATGACTGAGCCAACAATGATGACGAGGGTAATGCTAAATAAGAAGCAGGATTTGATTTAAAAGTTTTGAAGCAGACATCATCGCAAAGATGTTTTGTGTCGTTATTCCTCAAAATGTTGTACTTGCAGCGAGTTTTCTGTGATTAAAAGAAATTATTTTAAGATTTGAAAATTCAATTAAATTCCTATTTCAAGGAAAATAACCAGAAACATTTTTTATCACAGTGAAAGCAAACTATCAAATTTGAGTTTGTTTCATCATTAATATTAACATTAATATGATAATCCTTCATAGTTAAAAACACACTATAATCTGCTTGTTTGGTAAACATAGCTGAAAGATGGTTTATTTTTCATAAATAAAATCCACATATGTAGTTGAAAAGAGAAACATTCAGATAACCTTGATAAGAGCCCTAGTATAGTTAGTGTCATAGATACCAAAGTTGATGAGGTTTATAATGAAAGCCTTAACCCTTGAACACCAACATGGGTCTTTTGTCCCATGCACACTTTTCAATTGATTGAATTGTTTTTGAAATATTTTGACTTTGTCTAACTTTTGATAGACTTTACAAAATACTTCAAATTCAAAAATCAATCAAAATTCAAAAACATTTTTCATGTTTTAATCTAATTTGTCACTTATTAGTGGTGAACTATAATGAAGTGATTTTGAAGAAAAAATAAAATTTTAAGCTGCATGGGCTGATTTGACGCCTTCAACGTTTTTTGGCGTTTAAGGGTTAAATTGCATCAAAGATTCATAAAGGATTATAAATAGTTGATTTCGAAAGAATTATAAAGACCAATGTGATGACGTGATGAACGTCAGCATGCTTGGTGTCCACAATCATATAATGGTCTATGTCAACTTACAAGATGACTGTTGGAAAGTAAACTGGCCAAACATCCACTCACATTTTTTTTAATTTAAAGTTCATTACGGAAAGAAAAACAGACAAAAAAGAAATAAAGAAAAGTGAAAATGACTAACAGTTTTGATATTTCATTTAAGTTTTCAAAAGAATGAAAGAGCATTAAAATAAAAAAACAGATTAATGACCAAATGAAAAAATGGTAAAAGCAGCCACTACAAAATTAGAAAATGTTCTTTAACCTTCAAACATACGACACATTGCAGTTGCTTGCTAAGCTTCTCATTTGCCTTTTTGACACCTTCTGTTATACATATAAACACATAGATAAACAAATAAATTTATAGAAGCAATTATATCAGTTATATATATATATATTATATATATATATATATATATATATATATATAACATTGTAAGAATAATACTAAGTTATTAGCATTAATACTAAGTTATTAGCATTAATACTAAGTTATTAGCATTAACGGAATTTAAATTTTTGAATTTTATTTGGTCAATGCCAACAATGTTGTATGGAACGTCGTCTACTTTCAATATATAATTAGGCATAACTTTTTCAATCGCAATCTTTCAAAAAAATAACTCCCCTGAGCACTTTTCTCGTTTGTCTATTTAGGATGCATTAAACTCACACCTCTCAACAACAACTAATCTTACTTTCCTTTAACCTACTCAGTCTCCTTTTTCCATCAGATGACTTACATTTTGCTGGTTGATTTTTTGTTTTAAATATCCAAACATTTTTTGATTCAATGCCAAAAAATGTTCTAGGAAGATAATAGGTGAAATGCCTAGTAGATCATAAATTGAGGTTATAAATTGGGAATTAACAATGACAAACAAGGTGAGTCATTCATTTTGAAATACTTTATTCATTCAGCTTGAACGTAGTAATAAAATTGTTATCCAAATAAAAAATAAAATTACTTGATGAATTATTAAGAGCTGCATTATTGTTTGGTTTGGTAGTGGAGTCATCAACAATTTCTACATCCTTATCAACTTCTTTCTCAACCTTCTCGCCCTTATTGGATGACGAAATTGAATAGGTTTTATTTGATAATGAAGATGTATGGCATGCAAGCAAAACATTATATAGAACAGAACAAAGTTTAGAAAGATTCTTCAAAAAGAATTTGAAACTATTTATAAAATTTTGAAGATAGTAACAATCTACAAACTATTTTTAAATGATGTTACAGCCATAAAATTCAATAACGTATATTAAATAGGTAAATAAAAATTGTTCAAGTAGTAATAAAGAATTAGCTCGAAACCTTAGCATGTTGCATTCTACAAAAAATGTTAATTCATCAGTTAAATAAAACATCTCAGATATTGCTCGTGTCACAACATAGTGAAATTAAACACACACATACACATTAATTCACATATGACAAACACACATACATTCATACAGGCCACACATACACACACACAAATATATATACAAAACCTCAATAGTAGATGCGTTGTCAAGTGACACATGTGGCTGATTGGTGGAAGACATTTTCAAAGTGTTGTCTGATAGCAACCGAATGGGTCAAGACAAAAGTGCTGCCCAGTAACTTGATAACAATATCAACTTTGTTTTAATCTGAAAAAAAATAATTAAAAAACAATTTAACTTGTGAGTTAAATATTTAGAATCCTCTTTTAAAATTTACACTTAATAGTTTGTTAACTGAAGTGCCAAAATTTTCACAATAAAGGTAAACTAGGAATTCATAATTGCATGAAGCATCAAATTAAATGTAGCTATTAATGCAGAAAATATCCAAGGAGTATCTCTAAATTCAGAAAATTATTCGATCGGTAAATTGTATTTTAATCATTAAAAACACAATTAGCATATATAATAATAAAGGAAATATCTTTTATGACCACAAATAAAAAAAGCATTCATCAGTAAAATTGAAAGTAATTAAAATAATAAAGTTATTAAAAATTAAAATAACGTGAAGACAAAAAAAATAGACCACTTCGCTCATTGCACAAAGCTGTGAAATATATTTAAATTTATGTCATAACTTGTTTTTACCACATTAGATGCCATATGAATTACTATAATAATAATTATAATTATTATTATTATATGTAAATTATACAACACCTTACTTGTATGCCATAGATATCACACATAAATGACTTAAGAAACAAGTAGCGCTAACAGAAAATAAACAATCACAACATGAATTTTACAATAATAATAAATATGATGACAAACTTGTGATGAAAATTTAGTTTATCATGCTTGTTAGATTTTTTAATATTAATAAAAAAAAATTTGTTAAAAACCAAAAATTGACCAATTGTTAATGAAAAATTCTGAGTGCATCTATGAATCACAGGTAAAAAATTGAATAAATAATCATAAGTATATTTTTTTAAATTGAACAATGTATTTAGGCAGCACAAATATATATTCAAAGCTATTTACATTTAGACTACATAATATATCCAGGTGAGTATTCAAGGTACCTTATATTAATTCATATGTAAAAGTTGTAAATTAATGAATGTACTTTTTTTTATTAATTACAAAAACACAAATTCAAACTGCAAAAATAAAAATAACAAAAAATTAAAAAGAAGTGAAACAAATTTTTAATAATTAACACATTTTTAGCTTTAGGTCTTAATTATAATTTGGAATGCTTTCTTGATGAAAAATATCCGGCCTCCCAAAAATTGTGACATCAATCCTGGCATATACAAAATCGAAATTTATAATTATTATAAATTTCTATTATTATTATAATATAATATTATAAAAAATATCATCATTATTAACTAGCATCAGTCCCCTAGATTAAAATAAATATTATAGGAATAATGATAATGGCACAGACAAAAGTTGAAAAGTGTTCACCAACGCGCAGCCCACTAACAACAATGCGAGCAGAGCACTGACCAACCATGATAATCATCAAAATTAAGGTCCGTCATCTCATAACACCAGCGGAAAGAAAGACGAAATCAAAACCTAACGACGCGCCAGCCAGTCGTTGCAGGCATTCAGCCTAAAACTTTTATTGGCAATCGTCAAATCGGGCAAATGAGACATAAAACCAAACGAAAAACATTTTCTCGACATCGTGAACTATAACAAATTTTGATCAAATCAAAAACGAAATTAAATACGATTACCTAAATCAACAAAATACATGCATCTCTCCAACCACGATCAGATAAACGTTAGTTCAAGTTAGCAACGACTTTTTGAAAGCATGATTTTAAAATTTTCCAGATTGTCATAAGCTAAGTTTATAGCACTCTTCATGTAACCTATATAAATATATATAAATATATATATATAATTATGTTGGTAATAGACCATAATTTTTACAATATTCTATAAATTCTACCGAATGTTTGGCGTTAATATGTTTGTAGCATGAATTTGGAAAATAAGTTTATTTTGAATTTTAATAAACTAAACGTTCACCAAAAAACGTTAATGAGAAAAATTTTAAAAACGAACTACAAACATATTAACGCAAAACATTCGGTAGAATTTATAGAATATTGTAAAAATATATAATTATATAAACATCAATCAATCAATCAATTAGCTTGTAAAGCTCTATTCCCGCGATGTTCAACAGCGCTCCTCAATGAATTTTGAAAACAGATGGGTCTTGAGATCCGCTCTGAACTTCGCTAATGATGAAGTAGTCAGAGAAGTAAATAGAGAGTTCCAGAGAAAAGGGCCAAAAAAAGCAAAAGCAGATTTGGCAAAAGAGTGTTTAACACGAGTTAAGAAGTAGCGAGAACCAGAAGACGATCAAAATATGAAGATATATAAGAAAAGAAAGAGGCACGAGCAACTAGACGAGCAGCAGAGTTAAAAACTTTACTTAAAGGATATATAGTATAGAATCAGGAAGACCATAGTAGAGCGAGTTACAATAACAAATCCTAGATAAGACTAACGAAGTAATAAGAAAAAGAGTAGGATCATCAAGAAAAGGCAAAAGTTTTTTATTCTACGTAGATGAAAGTAAGAGCTTCTAGCAACACTATTAATCTGAGAAGAAAGAGACATACTAAAATCAAAGATAAAGCCTAGACTACGAAACTTGTGAGAAACATCAAGAGTTTTAGAATCAGGTAAGATAATAGGAGGAATAGTAATAGAATGTTTAGATTTATTAAAACAAATTAATTCAAACTTAGAAGGATTAAGTTTAAGACACATAGAGTCAGACCAAGAAATAATTGAAGAAAGACATCAAGATAGATTAGGAAGAACACTATTGAGATTAGATGGGGGAAAAGAAGTATAAATAGAAAAATCATCAGCATACAATTGACTAGAAAAAGAAAAGTTATTAATGTGAAGTTGTGACGATTGTGATGATAATGATTGCGCGATTGAAATATGCCGCCTGTATATTTTGTGAAATTGTGACGATTGTGATGATAATGATTGCGCGATTGAAATATGCCGCCTGTATATTTTGTGAAATTGTGACGATTGTGATGATAATGATTGCGTCTTTGAGGCGTACCGCCTGTATATATTTATATATTTTAATAGACATTCTATGCATGTATATTTTGTTATTTGATATGCTATATATGCGACGCTGCTGTGCTGTTTTGTATATAGGGAGTATAGGAATATATGGGACGCGTGCTACGCGCTGTTCTGAGTATAGGAAAAGAGTATAGATGTGAGTATAGAATTTTCTATGATATAGAAAGCGTTATGTAGATAGGGCGGTAAAAACATATAAAAGGCCGCGAGTTGAGATATAGAGGGAGGCTGGTCGTTTGTTATTTTTATATTAGGTTTTGTTTCTTGCTTGGTAGTTGTATTATTAATAGATTAATTTTGGATTAATTGTTTTTTTTAATAAAGACAGAGGTTTGATTTGTATTATTTTGTTTGTTATTTTGTTTCTTTTATTGAATAAAAGAAGTGTACACTTGAAGTTTGGCTCGGCTTAATTATTCTACCTAAAATAATGGATGTTGAAAAAGACTTGCTGATAGTTGACGAGGTCGGCGTCTCTAGTCAACAAGCAGGGCGCGAACAAACTTCCGCCCGGCCCGTGTTTTCAGACCCTGAGAAGGTCTATTGTAGAGTGGCGGATCCCGGCCAGGAAAGACTCTGCCAAAGCGAAGGCTCGGGTGGATAATCGTATGCGGACGCGGTTCGGGACCGCGTGGTGCGGAATTCGAATGTCGCCCGGCGGAAATCTACATATTTCGCCCAACGTTGGGCTTCTTTTTCAAACATTACAGGTTTTAGGTGCAGCAGGAGCCAAGGCGATTCTCCAAATTTTTTAGGTGACAGGTGGCATGTTCGACAACATGAAACTTTTTTAGATTTTAGGTCACAGGAACCGAAGGAGGATCGAAAATCAACCTCGAGCAGACTTTCAATGCCCGCCAGCCAAAAAAATAAAATTGTTTTAAACATCAATCGTTTTAAAATTGTTGACAGGTACGAAGAAAAGCCGCGCATTGATTTTTCAGCAAACAATTTAGGTTACAGGTTTATCCCCAAACAGGATATTTTAGGTTTTAGGTGCCAGGGTGATCCAAAGTTGCAGTAGTTCGGACTGAATGAGCTGCGATTAGCGTCCAGTAGATCACGGCGAAATAAAATTTTAGTTAACAGCAACAGGTGCAGAGCGACTGAGCGAGAGAGAGACAGTTGAACACAAGTCGACGTGTGACAGTCGGGAACCGCTTCATTCAACTGGTGTGAAGTCTCAGGTTCATCAACCGCGTATAGGTGCCGGGCGTGACAACGACTTTTGTCGTCGCGAATTGCTTCGACCTGACAGATTCTGACAGGGTCTGAAAACACGGGCCGGGCGGAAGTTTGTTCGCGCCCTGCTTGTTGACTAGAGACGCCGACCTCGTCAACTATCAGCAAGTCTTTTTCAACATCCATTATTTTAGGTAGAATAATTAAGCCGAGCCAAACTTCAAGTGTACACTTCTTTTATTCAATAAAAGAAACAAAATAACAAACAAAATAATACAAATCAAACCTCTGTCTTTATTAAAAAAAACAATTAATCCAAAATTAATCTATTAATAATACAACTACCAAGCAAGAAACAAAACCTAAAATAAAAATAACAAACGACCAGCCTCCCTCTATATCTCAACTCGCGGCCTTTTATATGTTTTTACCGCCCTATCTACATAACGCTTTCTATATCATAGAAAATTCTATACTCACATCTATACTCTTTTCCTATACTCAGAACAGCGCGTAGCACGCGTCCCATATATTCTTATACTCCCTATATACAAAACAGCACAGCAGCGTCGCATATATAGCATATCAAATAACAAAATATACATGCATAGAATGTCTATTAAAATATATAAATATATACAGGCGGCACGCCTCAAAGACGCAATCATTATTTCGTCACAATTTCACAAAATATACAGGCGGCATATTTCAATCGCGCAATCATTATCATCACAATCGTCACAACTTCACATTAATAATACGAGGTAATTCAGAGGTATAGAGTATAAATAGAAGAGGGCCAAGGATAGAACCCTGAGATACCCTGAAAGTAAGAATAGAGGAGTTAGAAGTAGAATTATTGAAAACAACAGAAGAAAAACGATTACAGAGATAAGAAGAAAACCAAGATAGTCAAGAATCAGTAATATTAAAAGAAAGATGTTGCAAACTCAAAAGAATAGTATGATCACGAGTATCAAAAGCCGAGGAAAAGTTAAGAGTAAGAAGAAGAGTAAGATTACTATTGTCAATAAAGAGAAGGATATCATTGTGTATTTTGAGTAAAGAAGTTTCAGTATTGTGAGCAGGTCGAAACCAGATTGAGATACAGGTAGCAAGAAGTTAGAGTTCAAATAAGATGACAATTGATTTAAAAACTACTTTTCTATTATTTTAGAGATGAAAGTAATATTAGTAACAGGTCTATAATTAAATAAAGAAGTAGGATCTAAGGATGAGTTTTTAAGAATAGGAATAACAATAAAATTTTTTAAAGAAATAGAAAATTTGGAGGTGGAAAGAGATTAATTAACTAAATTGAGATGATTGGACAAAATATTGAAAAAAAATTTTTAAGTAATTAGAAGGAAGTAGATCTAGAGAACAGGAAAATAAGGTAGTATCAAAAATAGTTTCAGTAAGAGATTGAAGAAAAATATCTTTATTAAGAGAAGACCAGCATTTTTTAGTAATAGACATAGATGAATTTGAAAGAAGAAAATCTAATGAAAATACAGATTCAATAAGGAGGGGTTCCGGTGGCGGATTAACGCACAGGCACAACAGGCACCGGCCTGGGGCGGCAAATTTTGAAAACTAGTTATTTAAAAATGTTCAAGTTGAATAAAAATAATTATTGAAATTGATACTTTACTCAAAAATTATGGTGTTCAAGTTAATATAATTTAAAACTTTAAAAAACCGATCAACAGTTGCCGTTCGTTTTGATCATATATTTAAAATACATGTATCGGAACATACAGCCGATAATGTCATGCAAAAAAATCATACTTTTATCACTGAAACAATAATTAATTAATCAGAGGACGAATGACTACAAGTGGCGCTAAATTGTAACAATATGTACGAATACCTTTTTTTTCATGGTCGCGTTTTTCACAATAATTGTGTACACAGCTACAAAAATTTGAACGTAGTTAATTATGTTAACTGTTCACTAATAATGACACAACAAACTCAAACATAACGGCAACAATGAAAAGCGTAAAACTAAATAATTTCTAGCGATCAAATAAAAATTACTTTATTAGTGCCTGTTATTTTACAAAAGTTTTTGTTAATGAGTTTGATGAGCTTGTATCATGATTTATTTGATTACTAAACGTTAATTATTAATCTAAAGATAAAGGTACAACCTATAAGTAAAGTAAAGGTACGTAGTATATGTGGGCGATAATATTTTCTTTCCAATATATGTAATTTTATTTATGTGGATGTGGTTCGATCATTGAATTAGATAGACCTTTTTTTAAATTCGCCATCTTGTCTTGTCTTGTTAAGGCCATATTCGTAGTTTCATAAAAAGAGCTAAAATGAGCGATGGTAGAAAAAGATTAAGTGGAAGTCAATATGCAAAATTGCGAAAAGACAAAGAATTGAAAAACAATACGGACTTGTATAGAACGAAGAAAATCAACAAGTTTTTTCAGTCGGTGGTCAGTGGAAGTGGAGATCAATTGGAAGAACGAAATGATACTGAAGATAAGTTAGTCGATGCGTTTTTCATTAGTGCAAGACATTTCTTTGAAAATATTGTTTTTAAAAATTGATTTGGCTAAAATTTCGCATACAAATAATATTGCTGTCTATCTATAGGTCCAGTTTAGCATGTAACAAAGAGAGATCATTTGCGGTTGAAGAATCTAAGACTGAGACAAATGATAAATCAAATGTCTCAGATGATGATGGGTTAGTTTGTCTTTTTTAAAAATCTAAATAAGAAATAATGAAACATTTTGGTTAAATTACTTTACCTGAATAAATATCTTTCTTGTACAGGGCCTCCATGGAGATATTAACAAAATTGTCTGATGAATGTCTCTCAGAAAATGTGGAGCAATGTTTCCATTTATCTGATGACCCTGCTTTATGGCAAGTAAATAATGAGACGCGCTATTTTGTGGCCAAATATGGCTTCAAGCGAAATAAAAATATGGACTTTAGTAAATCCAAAAAGGAGTACAGTGATAGCAAAATACGTAGCCTCACACAAAGTATGTTTGACTATACTCTTATTAACGGAGAAAAATTGTCGCAAGAATGGCTTGTTTATTCAGAAAGCACTGGAGCTGTATTTTGAGGAATTTGTGTTTTGTTTTTAAAGAAATCGAATGTACAAACAAAATTAACATCAGAAGGTTTTAATGATTGGAAGAATGCTTATAATGCGCTGAAAGAACATGAAAATTCATTATCTCATAGAGACTGCGTACATGCTTGCAAAACCCGTGTATAGGTCAAATAAACTCGCAGTTAAATGATCAATTGGAAACTGAGATAAATTACTGAAAATCGACTCTTGTTCGCGTGGTAGAAGTTGTAAAGACATTGGTTGCAAGAGGACTACCTTTGCGTGGACACGTTGAAAAATTTGGAAATTCTGAAAGTGGGAATTACATGATGCTGCTTGAACTTATTGCTAAATTTGATTCTTTTATGGCGCATCATATAGAAAGATTTGGCAAATGTGGCAAAGGTAATACATCTTATCTGTCATCAACCACTGTAGAAGAGTTAGTAGCAATATTGGCAAATGCTGTACAAGACGAACTCGTCTATCAAATCAAAATTAACAAATATTTTTCAATAATTGTTGATTCAACGCCTGACAGCAAAAGTTGATCAACTTTCCGTTGTAATCAGATAAGTTCAAAAAAGCGAAATGCCTTAGGAAGCGTTTTTAGCGTTTCTACCAAACACTGGCCACAAATCGCAAGAAATATTTAACGCTGTAATTTGTTTTTTACAATCACACAACCTGGATCTTCAAAACTGTCGCGGACAATCTTACGACAACGCTTCAAACATGGCTGGCAAGTATTCAGGACTTCAGGCGCGAATCAAGGAAGTCAATCATCAAGTTTTATTTATGCCATGCTCAGGTCACTCACTTAACCTTGTTGGCACAAATGCAGCAGAACCCTGTGCAGAAGCGTGCAATTTTATTTGGTTGATCCAACATGTTTACAACTTTTACAGTGCTTCTACTGCCAGGTGGGAAGTTCTCCAAAACCACACACAGTTTTACTTAATTTGAAAAGTCTCTCCACTACCCGGTGGTCTGCTCGCGACGACGCAGTTAGAGCATTGAAATATGGATGGAATCAGGTTATTGAATCACTACAATTTTTAGAAAAGGATTTAAACCAGAAACTCGTGCTGAGGCTAGAGGAATTATTTCTAATTTGAGTTTTCTTGAAATTGGAATTATGGTAGAATTGTGGGGTTTTGTTTTAGAATGTCTGAACAAGTCTAACGTCAAACTTCAAAAAGTAGACATTGATCTATCGACTGTAATCGAAATTTACGACTCACTTTTAACGTTGTTCGAATCACTCAGAGAAAGATTTGAGGATTATGAAAAAAAAGGAAAAGTCCTGTCTTTAGTTGATGACTACAAGGTACCGCCATTAAGAAAACGGAAGCGGCATTACGACGAATCAGTTGACAATGAAACAGAATTTACCACTCGAGAAAATTTTCGTGTAAACATATTTTTGGTAATTGTGACTTAAACTTAAATTCTGAAATGAACAAGAGACGAAACGCTTATGTAGAAATTAATGAAAATTTCAAAGCAGTTGTACAGTTCAAAACATTGTCAATGGGTGAGTTAGAGATTGCAGCGGATGGATTAAGATCTTTATTTCCAAACGATCTAGACGACACCTTAAATACTGAACTGTTGCATTTAAAGTCTCATTTGGCTACCTTAGACCAAAATGCAGTTCCACACACTCCAATTGATATGTGTAAATGGATAAGATTGAATGACTTGCAGTGTGTATATCCAAATGTAGACACTGCACGTCGGATGTACACTTGTACTCCTGCTAGAAACTGTTCGGCCGAGCGATGTTTTTCTTGTTTAAAGCGCGTTAAAAACTATTTGCGTTCGACAATGTCCGAAGAAAGGTTAAATTATCTTGCAATTCTATGCATCGAAAAAACAATTTTGCAAGATTTAGACATTAATTTCGTTATTGATGAATTTGCGCACAGGAAGGCACGTCGTAAAGTTTTGAAATAACTTTTATAAACAGCAATGAAAGAAAATTTATTTTTTAAAATTGATAATATTACATTACATGAATATTATTAAAGAATGTGCTTAATAAAAATGTTTTAAAAATATTGCGTTTATATGAATTTAATTTCTAAATTTATTATGAAATTTAAAATTGGGGCGGCAAACCACGAGTGCCTCTAGGCGGCAGAAAGGTTACTCCGCCACTGAGGTGATCAGAATAAGGAACAGAGCTAGCAGAGATATTAATAGGCTTAGAAAAAGATGAAGCTATAATAAAATCAATAGTGTTACCAGAAGTATGTGTAGGAAAAGAACAATATTGTGTTAAGTTAAAAAAAAGACAAAATATCATTAAATCTACGAGTGTAAGAACATGATAAGTTATTGAAATGCAAGTTGAAGTCACCAGAGATGTAGAAAGGAATAGAAAAAGGGTAGCGAGTTAGTAGAAATCATCTAAAATTAAATTGAGAGAAGAAGAAGGAGGGCAATATAAAAAAAAATAGAGAAGAAGACTTGAGAGATACAACAAGACATTCAAAAGAAGAAAAATGAAAGGAAGTATTAATGGAAGCAGTAAATAGAGATTTATAAAATAGACACCCCCATAAGAAGAATGAGAAGATGATAGAAGATTTTTTGGAAGTCTTGAGAGTTCAAGAAAGCTGTAACAATCAGGAGTAGCAAGAATAAGAGAGGGAGAGTTAGAGTTCTCGTGCCAAGTTTCAGTAAGACTAAAAAAATAGATATGACTAGAGAATAAAAAAAATAGTAATAGAAGTCTAAATGTGTAAAGTAAAAAAAAATAAAAAAATAATATGTGTATATAATATACTAGTATGTATAAAAGCATGTGACTTAATGAATGAGTCATGATGTAAAAAAATGTTGTGGAGATATTTGAACAAATTCATCGCCCTGAATGAACGTTCAATGGAACAAATTTAAAAAAAAATTAACGTGGTACTTGAAGGAGCTGCTTCAACATTATTAATATATTAGAAATTTGCTACAGGCTTTTGTATATTTCTTTTTATGGACTTGATAAGGAATGCATCCACGCATCTCCTAACATTCGTCGTTGTCAGTGACGTCTCATGACTTTTTTTAGATGCGTAGAAATGGTTCCAGACTTTTCTAGATCGAATCACGACCGAATACGTTTCAATTCAAATTATAATGACAATGACGCAGCGATCGTATTTCAAACACGTATGGGATCCGTAGTAAAATAAAATATGTCTTTTACAGAAAATAAAATACTTATGCATATGCAAAATGTGATTTGGTGTATGCACATTATGTCTTTATATAAAGTATGTGTAATCTGTATAAATAAATAATTTCAAGTAGTTTGTTGATGGAAGGTAACGGTAATTTTTTGATAAAGTCATATGTTATCTGATCTGTTCCAAGATTAGAATTTTTGCATTTATTCACTTTGTATGCAGTAGCAGATCTACACAATTTTGACGTGGTGGGGGACAAAATTTTGAAATTGTTTAAATTTTACGGCGTATCCAGCATGTGATCAAAATTAGACTGATGATCTTTTTTGGTTATCACCTCTATTTCTTGGTCAAAAATAAGGCTTTTTCTGTTAAAACAATGATTTTTAATACAAATATTTTTTACAACGGGCCCCCGCTTTCCCTCCGGACCCTCCACTGTTTATATACTAATTCATCAAAAATCAAAAAAGGATAAGGATTATTATAAAATTTTTGATTGTTAGTTAACAATTAAAATTAATTTTCTTTTCGTTATTTTTAAATATTATGAAGTCTTTATTTATGCAACTATTTTACACCATTAATGTAATATTATTATTTTGAGTTTCACGTCAGAGAACTTTGTTTTTATTTACGGCAATGTTTATTTATTTTTATAGAGGTTTTTTTCTGTTTGTCATAAATTTACAATTAAATGTCTGTGAAATAGGTATGAGATTGATAGAAATACACACACACACATACATACAGACACACACACACAGACACACACAATACAAAAAAATTCACCAGAAAAGACTTTTTGATGAGGCCGGATAGTTAAAAATGATATCCGCCGAAGCTGGATACCATTGCTAGATATCTTTTAAATAGCTTTAGTTACTAAACTGTTCACAAAATTTTTATATAAGCTCTCTAAGTTTATTTTATTGTTTCTACCACGTGGAAACATGCTTTGTATATCTTGAACACAGAGTAAACTTCAGAAAATAACATTCTTACCAGTATCAAGCATGCTGGAGCGCAAGCACATTTATAACAACCAAGCCTACTGTTATTTGTTGCTTTTGACACTACTAGATAAGTCAAGTTAATACATGCATATATTATATAACATTTATTGCAATAAATATTACAATGAAAATAAATCGTGTAGTGTATGTGATTAGCAAATACTTAAATAAAAACATCAGAGACGCTTTTTTATTATTAATTAAATAAATTCAAGGTTTTGACATAAACCATCAGTAATTTTTTTCTGTTTTTATACTTTCGTAATTTTATGGTTTTGAAAATCGAAACAAAAATGTTCATAAATGTTCCAGTTGCTTAATTTCTTTTGAAATAGATCCAGGAAACGGTGCATACTTGAGTGATAAGAAAGATCCACCAACGATATATTGCATATTTAAAAATGAGCCTGCCATAAAGAGCATAACGTGGACCATCAATGAAAATGTACTGAATAGCACGGAGAGGACCGTCATTAAAGGCAACTCAACATTCAGCATTATAACGTTTAATTACGTTGGTTAGTTCAATAAATTTTAAGAGTCTTAATAATTAAAAAAGCTTGTCTAATAATTAATAGTACAAATTTAATAGATTACAATTTTATTGGCAACATATACAAATGCCAGGGAAACGATGAACGACATAAAATGCGACTATCTGCAAAAGTTAGACTGGACTGTAAGTAACGATATTTATTTATTTCTTTATTTTAATCTTTATTATTTCAGCTCTGACATACGCAAAACCATTTACAATGTTACAGATAAATTATCTATATATTTTTTTATTATGTTCTTCATATCTTCAACCATTGATTTGAAGCAGCCATCTTCGCCAAAAAGGCTGTTAACATTCTTTTCATACGACGTGCACATGTATTTTACGCTGAGTATATGATAGCCATTGAGATGTTTGACTCAGCGAGCGTTTGAACCACTGAGCCATGTCGCCGTCCAACATGCGACAACTTACGTCGTCTACCCATTTACCAACCTCGAAAGGACGGACGGCTGGGTTGCATCTTTTTAGTCTCATACGCTTTTATATCAACTGCTATTCGACAGTGATACACACAAATGATTTAAATTTGAGCGCATGTATTAATATACTCAATAGGCATAGCCAGGATTTTGTTTTGGAGGGGGGGGGGGGAGTTAAAAATAAAACGAAAAATATTATTTTTCTTTACAATGTTCAAACTCTGATAAATGCAAAAATATAGCAAAAAAATAAAATTGGAAAAAACCATCAAGATATAAATGTAAGTATACTTAATCTTTCTCGTGCCTTAGCCTTTCAGGACATTGGCGACCATCGTTCTATGTTTTATATTAAAACATTATGATTTATAATATACATTTATTTTTTTTGGACCAAATGTTCTTTTGCTTTGTATGTAATTTCACTCTTTCCTTTTCTGTTGATCCGGTGGATAATAAACAAGTCGAGAACGTTGCTTGGTTTATTTCTCTTCTTTTAATGTCTTTCAATATTATATCAATTAATTAAACGATCTACGTAACAAGAAATTTAACAGGTTATAGGACCCAGATAAAGTTTTTCTTAATTAATTGATTTGACGAAGAAAATTTAGAATAAAGAAATATCGGAAGAATCCTTTGTGTTTGTGAAGACTGAAGTGAAGAAAAAACAAGAAAAAACACGTGCTTCTTCATTCTCTGAAAGTCGATATTTTGCTTCTAATTAAATGGTCAAATTGAAAAACAAGGAAGAAATGGATCTAACAAAAGTGCAGATCAAACACTTAGAAGGCAAAAGTAATTGGTTGAACTGGAAGTCGAGAGTTTGTATAATACTACGCGGCATTCCTGATGCAATGGACGTAGTAAATGGCAAATTAAAAGTTCCAGATGAATTAAACGATGACTCAAATAAAGATGAGATAGCAAAATATCAAACTGCTTTGAACAGATTCAATAAAGCAGATTGTAGTGCTATGATTATTCTGTCAACCAACATGACCGATGAAACGTATGAAAAAGTTCGTTCATTCAGTAATGCCAGAAATGTTTGGTTAGAACTTCACAGATTGTATGATGAAGTTAATGAAGATAAAGCATACAACTTATGCATGGAGTTCTTCAGTTATAAAATAGATGAAAGCGATGATGTTGTCACTCATGTCACAAAACTCAAGAATCTTTGGAAAGATTTAAAGGTTGAGTTAGGAAAAGATGAAAACAGTGACTTGTTGCTAATGTGCCAAATAATTGAAACTTTGCCAGAAAAATATTTTTCATTTGCTGCAAGTTGGAGATTGTTGAACAAGTCTGAAAGAACAGTCGAAACACTCGCAGATCAACTGTGTAGCTATGAGAGATCTTTGGAAGGCAAAACAGAATGTAATAAAGTATTATTTGTCAAAGCAACAACTAAAAGGTCATTATCACTAAACATGAATGGTCAAAAACAAGATAAATTTGTCAGCAAACCAAAGCGACTGATATGTCATTATTGCAAATTGACAGGTCACATTGTAAGAAATTGTGAAAAATGGCATTCTGATGGTAGACCAGCAAAACCAAGAAATAACAATCTACACGATGACAATAAGTCACTAGTTGTTATGGAATCAAGTGTTCTTGCAATTGATGAGTCAGCGTACACTGATGAATGGTTTTTTGACAATGGTGCAACGTGTCATCTAACTTTCCGAAGAGACATATTTCAAAGTTTTGAAAAATTTTCTCAACCGAGTAAATTATATGTTGCAAATGGTGATACTGTAGAAGCTTTTGGAAAAGAAATTATTCATCTTCAAGTGAAAGTGAATAATAAATGGCAACTGTTAAACTTACAGATGTCTTGTATGGGCCAAAAGTAAAAAGAAATTTGTTCTCAGTACTTGCAACTCAAGATAAGAACAGAAATAGCTCTTTTGTTTCAACCTCAAGAAGTTGTCATCTACTTATTGACAATGTGATAAGTGTTGTTGGAATAAGAAACAACAATGGAGGTTTGTTCAAACTTGTTGCAAAAACTGTTAGACCGTTGAATTCTGTAGTCGAAGTTAACTTTGTCAATGATCAAGATGCATTGCAGTTATACCATGAAAGAATGGGACATCAGAATAAGAAACGTGTTAAAATGCATCGATCAAGAGATGTTATTTTTGATAAGAAGGTTGTCAAACCAAATTTAGTGATTTTGCAAGAAGAAAGTTGTTCAGATGATACAGTTTCGATTGATGTTGAAATCAAAGATGAAAATAAAGAAACTTTGATTAAAGAAAATATTTCAACTGATGAAGATGTTCACAACCGTAGTTCAGTTTTATCTGATGAAGAAGATCAATCTGACTGTTGTAATCAAAAGACCAAAAGTATGGTTTTACGTGACAGGAATAATATCAAAAAGCCATCTCGTTATGATCCTTTCGTTATGTCCGCATTATGTGAAGTACTTAAACCAGTGAGCTACAAAGATGCCATTCAAAGTGATGAAAAAGATGAATGGTTTAAAGCCATGAGCAGTAAAATGCATTCATTAAAGGAAAATCAAACGTGGGATTTGGTAAGTCTTCCAAAAGGTCATAAGGCAATACCATGCAAATGGGTCTACAAGGTAAAACACAATCCAGATGGTTCTGTTGAACGTTTTAAAGCCAGGCTAGTGGTAAAAGGTTTTTTTCAAAAAAAGGGAATTGACTATGAAGAAACCTATAGTCCTGTGGTCAGAAGTTCAACTATAAGAACACTATTAAGTGTTGCTGCAAATGAAAAGATGTCACTCATGCAGTTTGATGTGTCAACAGCATTTCTATACAGCAAACTAGATGAAGATATTTACAAGGAGCAATCTGAAGGTTTTAAAGATAATTCAGGAAGAGTCTGTAAACTCAAGCAAAGTCTCTATGGACTTAAACAAGCTCCAAGATGTTGGAACAAACGCTTTGCTGAATTCTTGAAAAAGAGACATTTCAAACAAAGCGATGCAGATAATTGTTTGTTCATTAGAATACAGGGAGGAAAAAAACTAATACATGCACAGTATGTTGATGATGGACTAGTTGCAGGAACCAATAAAGAAGAACTAAAAATATTTGAAAAAGAATTAAAGTCAGAGTTCAAGATAACATCTAAACCTGCAACATATTTCCTTGGATTAGAGGTTAATCAAGATGAGAAGGGAAATATTAATGTCAGTCAGTCATCGTATACAAGAATGATTCTTGAAAGTTTGGGATGAGTCAGTGTAAATCCTGTACAACTCCGATTACAAAATCTGAGGAGTTCAATGAAAACAAAAATGAACACGATGAAGTGAAATTTCCTTACAGATCAGCAGTTGGTGCATTGATGTACTTGGTGACGGGAACAAGACCAGATATTGCATATGCAGTTGGAGTAGCATCCAGAAGTTTAGGGGAACCCAGCAAGTCCAATGTAGCACAAGTCAAGCAAATTTTCAGATATTTGCAAGGCACAGCTGATGTCGGTATTGTTTACAAGTCTGGTCAAAACAATACACTTATAGCCTACAGTGATGCAGATCATGGAGGAGATAAATCTAGTGGAAGATCGACATCATTTGTAATCTATATGTTTGGAGGAAGCGTGATCAGTTGGTTTAGCCAACGTCAATCCTCAGTTGCGATTTCAACTACTGAAGCAGAAATCGTTGCCGCAAGTGAAGCAGCTCGTGAAGTGATATGGCTCAAACGATTGTTGAACGAAATTGTAGATCTAAAGAAAAAGCCAGAAATTTTTGTCGACAATGAAAAAGCAATTTGTTTAGCACACAATCCAGAACTTCACAGAAGAACAAAGCACATACACATTAGACATTTCTTTGTCAGAGAAAAAGTTGCAGAAGAAAAAGTTTCAGTTGAACGAGTTGCGACAGAACTTCAAGTTGCTGATGCTCTGACAAAACCAATGGTAGGACCAAGACTAAAGAATCTGATGTGTGCGATGGGTCTTCAGAACATTTAGGTTAAGGTCATCTAATGTTTTAAATAAAATGAGAAAGTGTTAAGTTTTATATTTTATATTAAAACATTATGATTTATAATATACATTTATTTTCTTTGGACCAAATGTTCTTTGCTTTGTATGTAACTTCACTCTTTCCTTTTCTGTTGATCCGGTGGATAATAAACAAATCGAGAACGTTGCTTGGTTTATTTCTCTTCTTTTAATGTCTTTCAATATTATATCAATTAATTGAGCGATCTACGTAACAAAAAATTTAACATCCACAAACCGATCTTTAACACTTTGTAAGAGTTAAAATGTGGTGATATTCACAAAGTGACACAAGGACTTCACGATCTCTTTTCCTGCAATCTTTCCAGTAGTTGTTATATTTTTCAAACTTTCCTTCCGCATGATGTGACCATAAATTTTAACTGCCCCCGTCGGGTTATCTGTAGTGATTTCCTCTTTTCATGACCAGACTGTTTTAATACATCCTCATTCGAAGTATGAGAGGTTCAACTAATTTTCATAATTCTTCTCAAAAACCACATCTCAGAATCTTTAATCTTTTTTCCCATTTCTTTAGAAATTGTCCCGGACACAAAGCCGTATGTTAGCACAGAAAAAATGTAACACCCTAACTAACAGTTTTAATTTTGTTGATATTCTGATGTTACTGTTGGTGAGAATGTTTTTTATTTTAAAATATGCTTCTTCTACCATTGCTATCTTTTTTTTGATATCCATATCATATTTACAACCTTAAGTAATCAGACTTCTGAGATAATTGAGTAGGTATACTAAAAACTATTATTTTTTAAAATATAAATTTAATTATAAATAGAATACGACTTAATTTATTAAAAAATTTCAAAATTAATATATTTGGCATTTAAATTTTAATTGTAGTGAACGTTCAACAAAAATAGTCCATTTAGCATAATATTGGATATGGATTTTTATTTTATTTTGATTCTTTAAAATGTTGAAGT